TACCATCCCAACATATGCAAAATACAAACTAACATGTATACGAAGCAAAGGAAGCACACGACCAATTAACAAAAGCTACACGACCTAGAACTGAGCAAAAAAACCAAAATCACGAACAAAGACTATTATGCTATCATGGCGCCTACAGACTAAGAGAGTCGCAACAGTTTACAATTGCCTTTCATTTGAATTGTATGAGACGCCATAAAGATGTAAAAAGAACTCATTTCATAGGAAAGTTGACAGGTAGTCAAACAATGCTTTTAAATAAAGGGTAAAATGTCATACACCTGACCACTCTGTTTAAAATAGCCTTTCAGATAACAGGTGATTAGAGAATAAGTCATTGCGAGAGGTACCCTCTAAGGAAAATGCACTTTAATTGCTATATCACTGAATTAACGGTACGTTCATTGGCTAAAAATCACGTGGTAAGGAAAAGAAGTTGACACCAGTTTGGCAAACTTGCAGAAAAGGGAGAAGCTTCATCAGGTAAGATCGTTTACTATCTTTTTCGTGTTTTTAAGAATAATTTCAGTGAATTGTTTACACAGTTAAGTTAAATCGAAAAGACCGTGCGAATTTTCGCTGAAAATTGATGCCAGAGAGCTCTGGATCCACTACTTAAACAAGAAGAAACACAATCTGTTTATCTAATATCTGACCCAAATACATGTTCTCAAAGAGAAATATAGCAGAGAATTTGGTGGGACATTTCCCTCTTGATGTCAAGACTTCAAATGCAAACATTTGGATTTTGCTTGTGCTGTTGTTGAGATTTACTTAAAGTAGAGAAATATTCTGAAGGAAAGTAAATTTAAATTTCTTTTTTCAAATCTTGAACCTCTACCATATGTTAACATCTGTTGCTTAAATTCTGACTTGAAACCAATATCTATCAACTTCTCCTGCAGTTTTCACAAATAACAGATTAGTTTGTCAGAATATAATTGCAGTTGGCTCTTTTCTTTCAATTCCATTTTCAGCTTTATTGTTTTGTTTCAACTGAAAGCTCCCAGTAATGCATGCAGGGCGAAAATAAAGAGGGAAAATTATTATTCTTTGTCAAAAAATTTCAAACCACTAGTATCAGTCATTACCGAATGATGAAAAAAACAAATGAAAATTCTTATTTATCCCAATTTATGACCAGATACTCTAAAGCATGCACGAAAATGAAATGTACCGTCTGTTATAGTTTTATACTCACTTTATCTTACAACTTTCCGGTTAAACCTGCAAGGCTATTTTAATGAAATTTCTTTGAATTGAGAGCATTTTCCCACAAAACAGGAAAGATCGGGAGAGCAAGGAAATTCCGTGGGAACATTTGAGCGGATATTTCTTGGAAACAGGGAAAGTATTGTCCTCCTGGCATTTGGGAGCGTATGGAATTGTTTCTTTATTTCAGATAATTGTTCTTCTGACCAAAAAGGGGCAACTCTCTCTATTATTTAGCTATGAACTTAGGTAGCAAGCGTCCGGCTCTAAACGGCAGAATTGTTTTTAATCCTTATTAGTTGCAGTATAATTTTTTTGTTTGTTTTTTTTTGTGTTTTTGCAGGAAACCCTGGCTGAGAATTACTATGATCTAGAATTTCTGTGATTATGCTTAAATTGCCCGTTTGCGCCATGAAGCTGTTGGTTTTGTTTTTGATCGCTTTTACATGGAGTGAAGAATACGGTTGTTTAGCGAGTAGTAAGAGAAACCTCATGTTGTTTGTCATCGCTGAGTATCTGAGTTTATAATGTGGCTAAATCTTATAAGGTTATTTGAGTCGTTTGACACTTTTAATGGCAGGAGACCCCAAGTTAAAATCTTAAAATTATAAAAAAGGGGAAAATGCTGGAGGAGAAAGAGATTTAGCGCGCAGGCGAGTGAAAGAGCGAGCGACAGAACGACGATCTACACTCGTGCGTTTCCATTTCCACGCACCGTTAATAACTGCTCGCACGAGACAAGGGGAGCGCCATGCACTACAGTTTAGGATCTCCCTTCACTGGCAGTTAATTTTCAATCAATTGTCCTCCCCCCTCCCCCCCTTCCCCCCTTCAAAAATCTGTCAGTAACAACTGATCCACCCTCCGTTCCCCCTGAAAACCATATGACCCCTCAAATCCTCCGACTTCCCCCCCCCCCCCTCGCCCCTCCCGACTGGTCCCTTATTTAGTCATTTATCTTTTATTTATAGTTTCATATAACTAATTGTCTCTTTAGAAGATTGCAGGCTACGATGTGCTCTGGTAACTGATGAATGGTTTTCTTACTTGGGAAATAAATCACTTTCTTGCCAATACGTTCAACAATCCACTGAAATAATGGAGTGTTCTATCATGGCTCCCGATATTCTGTAAGAATGATTTTAAAAAGAATCCTTTTACTTTTGTTAAGTATTCCTGAAAAATAACAGGAGGAACGACCCCACCGGGGTAAAGAATGGGATTTACCATAGGTGGAGGGGTGAGTAAATTTTGCGGGAGGTGGGTTGTGCTATCGTACCCTTTACTCCTTCACCCACCCCTTCCCCTAAAAAAAATCAGATAAGGTTTTTGTTTAATTTGAGCAACTTACTGACCAAAAATCTCAGAAAAAAAAGTTTCATTGACCTATTTTGGTTCGGTTAAGCTCAAAATCCCATTCTAAGCTTGTTTTTATTTCTCTATAGGCACGTGACTAAAAGTAATTTGAAAAACCCTTCTATTGCCATGTTCAGTGCTTTCACGAATCTAGAGCATCTGTAAGTTAACTGCATCGGAAACTATTCCCTAAGTTTACATTTACAATATTATAAGACTATCTGCCTGTTGGTCTGTCAGTCTGACGGTCTGTCAGTCTGTCGACCTGTCTGTCTGCCAGATAGCCAGTCATTCAAGCAGTCAGACGGTCGTATTTGTTTGTCTATATCTATCCCATGTTCGTCCGTATCTTTTCCTCTTTCTTTTCGTCTGTGGATCCGCCGGTTCTTCTCTCCTTCCGCTTAAATGTCCACTTTAACAGCACTCATATTTCGAAACAAAATTCCTGAGAAACTTTCATGTTCTTTACTTTGATCATTCGATTCCTTGCAGTTTTTTCGTGTCAAGCAGAGTCCAAACCCTGAACGTGGTTTTATTTCGTTCTCAGACGAAACTTCTACAACTGTGAGTTGAATTAATTTTGAAAGATCTCGAACGCATGTGAATGGCAGAGTTCCTTCAATCTGCATCTTGCACACGATAGGTTTTTTTTAATTCTGTTGCGGTCATGTCTCTTCACCAAATATGGTCCACATCCATTGAATAAGAGTGACTGCCCCTAAACCAACTGTGGCAAGGCCCGATGCCCTTTAGTGTTCTAGAACCTTAGATGCTAGCGAGTAAAGTTTGCTTGACAACAGAACGCGTGTTAGCAGAGGTAACTAAAGCGAAATAAGATACGTAGTGTCCACTCATGGGAACCAAGAAAAGAAGAAAAAGTACCACGCGAACAGCGCACACCTTTTCTACTGGTATTTTTTTGTGTATGAAAACAGGGTGGATATCTGGAGCCTTCTTTCAGCTCCGCAACAGTTGGCGCAATTCATTTCCATTTAAGGTGACCCGGAATATGAGCTGATAACCGGAGTTGAGTGAACTGATCAAAACACTAGAGATGCAATATTCGGAATCATAAATAAATTTCAATTATTCACTGATATCATTTTCTGCATGATTCAATTTTATCGATCTTTAAGGGACTTGTCTTCGAACGCCATTAACGATGTACCATTGGGAATATTTTCAAGCCTTACTAAGCTTGAAAGCCTGTAAGTAATATCTAATCTATACTTTTCTGATTGCATTGAGTCAAGAGTAGTTGGAACATTCACAACCCTTGCTAATAAGCTATCTTAATTGACAGGGATGAAAGAAACTGTTGAGACACGAAAAGAGTTCGAGTCCCACAAGAATTGCCATAGGCACGAACATAATCATCACTGTATTGTTTTGGTAACCAAAATCTCATTCACACTACAAAAACATGTTTAGTTAAACCAGTTTTAACTTAATGAAAATCAGAAAAAGAGAACTGAAAACTGAATTTTCCATAGTTCGCTAGTAATCACTAACTTGTATTTTAAAATTGCTAAATTTTAAGTCGACAAGCATTGGTTTGAGCATGCAGCTTCTATGCAGAAAACAATTTTAACCGTGTTTAACAAAACAGCCTTTAAACATGTATGAACTTTGATGTGATTGCGGTACAAATGGCCGCCAGAAACCAAAAAAAAATCATACCTTTGGGATTTTAATATTTAAAGATATAATGGTGATATTTCTGTGGGTCGATAACGTTCCTCAAGGTGATCGGACTTCGTATTTTTTGTCACCTACACCACCTCCCAAGGAGTTTGACTCAGGGGGGTGGAGATAGGAAGGAGCATTTGTAGTGAGAAAGATGGACTACTTGATCATACAACCATCCCATGCGGGTATTGAACAATTAATGCTCTCAGTTACTTCAAAATACGGAAACCAGGATAAAATTTGGCTTTGTAAGCCAATACGTTCGAGAAAAATACCAATTAATATCCAGCTTGTAGCATAGTGAACGTTGCCTTGACTTCTTTCCGTTTTCAGAAATCTCAGCTCAAACAGGATTGAAGAACTCGATAAGGATATTTTTTCCGAACTTGTAAACTTATACTACCTGTAAGTGGGACAAACTAAAAGATCCACAACTTATTCTCATGTGGCAAAATCTATGGAAATTCAGAAAACTTTGAAAGCCTCAGAGCCGTGTGTCGGCTAGCGACCAACTTTACAGAGCATGCGCTCTTTCTCTTAATATCTTAATTTTGGTTTCACGACACTTCATAGTAAACTTATTTTACCATAGCAGGTGGAAATTGGAGTTCAAAAGGGAGGGCCTGACAGAGGAGGGTTTATTCCTATCTATTCCAAATTTTTACATCTTAATTTTCCTACTCTGAAATGAATGATGTTCTAAAGTCAGTATTGATTACTTTTTCAGATCCTTGTCCCATAACAGAATGATGGACTTTCAAGATCGCTTGTTTGAAAAACTGGGAAAACTCAAATACCTGTATGTTACGCGCACACATGAAGTAATACAATGTTTCAGAATATTACGAGACATGCCAAGGGCAGTTTATCGGCTAGCGCCCTGGACCTTAAATGGAGAGGTCTGGGTTCGAGACATTTTACTCTCACAGTGCCTCCACCCAGGGATAGGGATAGGTACCAATGAACTATCAGAGAAGCCTGATGAAAAAGCTTGAGGGCAAACTGTTACATCCACGTAAACCAGGAAAAATTCCAGCACGTTAGGTAACCTTTCTAGATCCCTTTTTAGGCTTGTACTATTTCATGTTGCAAGATAACTGTATCAAACATCAAGTTTGTTTTACAGTTTGGAAATTTTTCCTCAGCATCGAGCGCTCCTATTGGTTACCTTGGAGTCATAGCGAGCTGCAACACTCTTGGAAATGTAATATCCCGACAGGTGTAAAAATCTACTGGAACAAAAGAAGAATTGGCTAAACCCATCTTTATATCAGAAAAAAAGGTGCAATTTATTGTTAATTCTTGCAGAGATCTTTCATACAATCGTGTCAGTTACCTAGATGACGACCTGTTCAGTGATAAGTTAACAAGCCTTGAATTTCTGTGAGTAAAAATACAACATTATTCATTTCTCCCTTAATCAGCCATTTAACAGGTCAGGGGGAGGGGGTTATTCCCGCTTCTTTACTGTCATTTGGTGTTCACGTATCTTTTTCAATATAGTTCCTCAAAGCTGTCGGGGCAGAAATGTTGGAAGGGAGAGCCTAGGGACTAAAGAGACCAGACAGTCAATTTTGACTAGTTAGAAATGTACTCATAATTTTTTAATTATTTCTTTAGACTGCGTTTCCCTAGTATTATTTCCACCATCAACCCACCCCCCTTCTCTCTCTCTCTCTTCCCCCCTCTCTCCCCACCTCTCTCTCCTTCTCACTCTCTCTTCGTCACCCAACCGTTTTTTGCACTTTGATTACCTCACTATTGATTCCGAATCAAGATACGACTTTTCTTCCCGAAGCCTCCCGAAAACTACTCAACGAACACAACCCGCTTTCCTTTTAACAATATTTCTTACTAGAAGAGAATCAACAATCTCATGAACATTAATGTGACAAAATACTTCAAAAATTATAGATTTCTGCAGCATAACGATCTACAAGCAATAACAGGAAACACTTTTACAGATGTCCCCACTTTAAGATACCTGTGAGTTGAAACATTAAGGTAGATCTGCAAGTCACAGAAAATGTCCTAAAACTTTGTGCCGTTGCTACTTTGATTCAAGCCACTATAATTAAGCGAAGTTTATGACAAAATTCTAAAATGCGCACACTTTCACTTTAAAGCTGAATGTGCACTTAATAACTGATCAAATTCCTGCATTCAGCTGCAGATGACATATCAAATATGTGCATGGTCCGCGATTGAATTATTGTCCAAAAGACAGACGAGGAACAAACCAAAAGAGGGTAACTGGGAAATTTAAAAACAATCTCTGGTCAGAACAGGGCGTTAGTACTTCCGATAAGCCAAAAAGTTTCAATATTTCGACCCGAAATTAAGAATGTACGTATAATTCAGGGACAAACGGAATAATGAAGTGCTTACGTAAAAATTTTCAATTTAACGAATTCACCAAACGCTCGCGCGCTTCTTTACTTCCAATCCTAGTCTGCTGAGTAACAACAACATAACTGTGATTCCTGAAGGAGCCTTCAAGAGGAATCTTAAACTCGAGATGTTGTGAGTTTCTTACTCTACTTACATAGTTGATTTAAAATGGTGTTCTAGAACAGATTGCACTCGAAGCTTTTCTGGATTAAGTTGGAACTTTCCTTCTTCAGAGGAACGTTTCTAGAACTTTCCCAGCAATTGACAACTTCATTTGTGTATTGGCGTTTCTGCTGCATAAGCCAGAGAGCCCAGTTAGAATTATGACCTCTTTATGCGACAAAATGGCATAAACAGAATGGTTTTATCTGAAAAACCAGCCGTCTAAGTTATAGTCGAAAAAATTGTTTATTTCGTCATGTTTCTGTTGTGAATTATTTTCCTCAGAGTGTTGAATGATAATGAAATTGAAAAACTCGAGAGACACGCCTTTGGTTTTGACGAGAATGAGCAGACGCCCGATGGAGTCATCATGTGAGTGAGCTTCCCCGCGGGGAGACATAAGTTATCTAAAGAGTATGTTTTATATTAACTTGCCGCCCCTCAGGAGAATAAATACGTTATTTTGCCTATATTATTGGTGCATGCAGCCCTGGAGGAAAAAACGGGGGGTTACATTCGCCTGCCCCATGGGGGTGTGCTGCTCCTGATGGCGACTCACGGGTTATATATGCATGCTATAAAGGGATGTGCTGTCCCCGAGAGGAATGCGTGAGTTACACCTGTACCTATACATACTTTATATACAGCCCTTAATGGGAACACTTGCCTGTCCCTAGGGAAATACAGCCCCCGAGGGAGATTCATGGATTATACTTTTATGCTAGGTAGGAATAAGTAGCCCCCAAAAAGGATATATGAGTTGTCTTTTCATGCTTCATAGAGATGAGCAGCACTCGAGGAGGGATACAGGGTTAATGTTCGCCTACTCGATAGGTATGTGCAGCCCCCGAGAGGGATATATGGGTTACATTATCCGGCTAGATAGGGATGAGCAGTCTCCAAAGAGGATACAGTACTTTCAAATGGGTAGAATTTTTTTATCATGGCAGGAAAAAAACACTTCTAGTTTTACAGTAATAAAGACAACGTGCTTGCAACGACGCAACTTGATTGTAAGACTAAAGAGTAAAACCAGCAAAACGGACAGTATTTTTTTTGACCTCTTTCTTCAGATACATGATCCGGACAAATGTACCAGAAATGAATCTCGAATCCTTTTATGGCATCGGATCTGACGATTTTCATGAACTGTAATTTTCAGTTAAATGTTTTAAGTAATTCCAAAATTTACTGGGTTGCTTAATCACGCCGTAATATGATCACTTTAGAAATCTGTACCCTCTCTTCTAATCAGAGGAAACTATATAACAAATCGCGACTAGGAGAGTTTTTTTCTGCGCGTTAAAACCGGGCAGACTCTTGAAAGCTTCCTCTGATCTTTCTGTTTGTCTTGATTGGCGATAGTCATTAATTTGGTTCTGGATTTATCGCACTCAATTGAAATTAAAATTAGGGTTTGCAAATGTAACTGATTCAGCTAAAAAGTAAGTTACTGAACGATAGATCAAAGTTTCCCGCGATAGCTTTACATTTTTGAAATGTTGAACTGAACACGATTTAAGTATTGTTAAGAATACAGCCCGTGTGGGCACAGGCCTCCACCTCCAAATTATGTTGTTGTCAAAACCTTAGTATTTCGTAATTCCGTTTTATGCAACGTTTTATTTCTTTTCAGGACAATGAATGACGAGCTCATTGGAATAGTAAGGTTCTACACGAAAAAGGAAAAAACTCTTTGCAGAATTTATCTGTCAGTACACAAAAAAAATTCCTTCGTTTTCCCTGAAAACCACGTGATCCCCAACATTCTCCAACGCCCTCCCCCTCTCCCCCCCCCCAGATAAATATTGACTTGTCTCTGACGAAACAACAAACCAGGTGCTGAAAATAACAACAAGTAAACGTTCAACCTCTTTGCCGGACGAAGACTAGAAGTATCGCAATTGAAACGTCGCCATTAATACACGATTGATTAGCCTGACTCTTGCATCGTGAAACAAACGATTACACATTCCTTTATCTATAAACAGCAATATTTTCTATAACAAAGCAGGTTTCTTTGTAGGAATCCTAATGCATCGAACGTGGAAATGGTCAGCGTATCAGGGAAGATTTATGAAAGAGCGAGACTGGATCTTTTGATCAGTTTCATGAACCTGGGTTTTGAACAAGTGGAGCATTATTATGATGCAGAGAATATGACCCATCACTATAAACTGCTTCCCTGCCCAGAGGGGACTTATTCACTTAAAGGCAAAGGATGCAAAAAGTGTCCACCAGGTAGTTTATTGCCCCTACGTTGTAACAATTGATAAAGTAGACTAGTGTATTCTAAAACAGAGGATAGCGTTAAAGGCACGCTCTGATTGGCTACCAAACTCTGAATATTCTTTGCTATTTACCTCCACGCCACTCGCGCGGGATTTGCGCCCGAAAATATTGTAATTGTTGCAGGAATAAATTACTAACAATCATCTTTCTTGCTGTATCATCTCGCTGTTTTAGTCTATACTTAAAAAAAACATGCACCTCCACTTTGGCGAATACCTGCTAAATATTTTGATACCATGAAAATTAAATTTAAAACTGTTATCTCCTTTGATTTACTCTGCATATTTAATCCACTGCCCTCAAGAGTTTATCTGACTTCATCTGAACTAAGCCTAAATGGAGGCATCGACGGCTTTCGTCAGTGTTCTTTTTACAAGCTTCTTATTACTCCTACGGAGCAGAGAATCAGGAGAAATAAGTCTGTATGACTACTTTTCACGGCTTTCTTTCGTAGGGGGTTTTCTTTCCGACAGTGCTGGCTATGTTGCGGACCAGTGTCTTACCTGTCCACGTGGCGCGTACGTGAAATTGGACATCTATCCAGGAACGCGCTATAAACATTGTAGGGCATGTCCTCGAGGTTAGTAATTCAAAACTCAACAATTGTTCAGCAGGGGCTATCTAGCTTAGAGAAGGAATACCCATTAGTACAGGCCTCGCTACATATGTTGAAATCCCTCTAAACATAATTTTAGACCAAGCAGAGTTTTTCTACTTCTACAATATTGGGCTTCCTGAATTCCAGTTCAAGCTTGGATCTCTGCACATGAATCACTTCAGAGATGCACCACTGCTAAGAAATCTTTATTTATCTACTTCTGTTACCCTATCAGGAACAAACACAGATTCAATGGCCGGAAAGATCGCTTGCCATTGCTTGGATGGATTCCATCGGACCGATATCTTTGGCAAATGTATAGAGTGCGAGAGAGGCGGTAAACACGAGGGCCTGGAATGCAAGACTGACTTTTTGAATCTGAAACCTGGTTATTGGTGGGAATGGCAGAACGAAACACACAGGGAACGATACAGAAATTTCTCCACAAATCTCATAAATCCTCAAGAATCCTTCGATAACTCGTTCAGGGATTTCAACTATCCTATGCCGAAGGCAACAAAATGTCCAAGGGAAGAGTCTTGCCAAGGGGGGGTGAATGCCATTGACAATCCTTGCAAGCCTGGTTATGAGGGTCCCGTCTGTGGCATTTGTCAGTTTGGATACTACAAACAGTTGCAGGTTTGCAGCAAATGCCCAACTAAGAAGTCAATGGCAATACAGTTAGGAATGTTGGTCGGATTCTTTCTGTTCATTGTGGCCATTTTGGTTTGGTACAGCAGGAAGAAGACGAAAAAAGCTCGAGGACGCCCTTTGATTGACATCATCTTCGCCAGACTTAAAATCATAATCGGATTTTACCAGGTTACCTATGGTTTACTCGAAGCTTTCTCGTTCGTCAAATGGCCAAATGTCCTTGACGATATCGCCCAGTATTCAGAATTACTACAGCTGAATTTTCTGCAGATTGCTCCTCTCCATTGTCTGTTCTCGAGTCTCCAGGTGGACGCATTTGGTAGTCTGTACGCTAGCATGGGATTGAATGCTTGTGCTATCGCCTTCTTTGCATTCATTCTCGGTGTGCGTTATTTGATGGTCACCTTTAGTGATAGCCTGACCCAGATGGAAAAAGCCAAGCGTATTTCACACGCCAAAGAACTCGTCTACAGGAATTTGTTCTTCTTCCTCTTCGTGACGTATCTGAGCACGTGTTCTAAAACGGCCAATGTCCTGCCACTCGCCTGCCGACGACTTTGCCGTGACAAAGAAGGGATATTATGTGACGACTACCTCAAAGCTGACTACGGCATCCGCTGTCACGGAACAAAGTACCACTTACAGCTGATCGGGGCCTACTTAAATATCCTTTACATAATCGCTCTCCCCGCCTTCTCCATCACTGTGCTTTGGAGAGAGCGGGCGCTGATTATAGCCCAGAAGGAAGAAAAGAGATACCAGGAGACCCTTCCTAATAAAGAGATCGTCACCGGATTGCGTTTTCTTTATGAAAATTACGACACACCGTCTTGGTATTGGGAAGTAATTGAGATGGCTCGCAAGATCACACTCACTTCCGGTCTGATTCTGATTGGACAAGAGAGCAGGGCTTATGTGGGTGTTACGTGTGTTCTGGCAGGCCTGTATGGTATGACGTTTGCCTACATTGCTCCCATTCAAGACTACTTCGAGAACAAGCTGATGGTCACAGCTCTCTCAGTCACGTTCATAAACCTCGGAATTGGCGCCGTGAGCAGAATCCCATCAGAGAACAGGGAGCCTTTCAAAGATCCACTCATGGATACAAACATATTCAAGATAACCGTTCTAGGAGCGAATACTTTGGTGGTTGGACAGCTTATCTGTAAGATGTCACTTCGCGGGTTGGGGGCACTAATCGATGGGATGATTTTTAAGTACATTAGATTGAAGCCCAGTACCCTGCTAATTAGCAATTGAAATGATATAGTTTACCGTGGTACTTGAACTTAATTAGTCAGCCGGGTAATTTAGGACGGCGAACGCAGCAGAGGAAACGCAGATGTGAAAGAGCGTCAAGTGAGCGTGATGCTTTGCCGGTCACACTCACTCAACCACTTAAGAGGAATGTAGGTTTTGCCATGAGAAAATTTTGAGCAGAACGCGAAAAGAAAATTAATAAACAGTATAGCCTTTCACACTAAAGAATAACAAAGAGACCATGGAAATATCGTGTTAGATATCAGTGACGAGGCCATACCTCACGGTCTCGTGAGTGGAAACTCAGACAATTAGAGACCCTATTATACCTTCAAGTGTCTATTATTTACATTGCATTTTTATTCACTACAATTGTTGTACATATTAAATCCATCCTGTTATTTTTAATTGTAACTCAGATGTTCTGTCAGAAGCAACTTAATCAAGCACAAATCACCTCCCTATCTAGACAGCGAGGCGTCGTTTAGAAGTAACTGAAAATTTGGAGGACTATATCAACAGATTTTTTTTTCTGTTTTATTCTTACAGGGGAATACTTTTCGTACGTCTTACGATTTTTGTTGAATTGGATCAAGAATCCGCACTTTTCGTTCACTTGTTTCCAGTCTCTGCTCCTCCCGGTGAATGACTTGGGAGAGGACGATGAAGAGTTGGACGACGAGGGGTATCATTTTGAAGACGGCAAGATGGAGATAGTATCCATCCACCCAGACCCCACGCAAAATAACGACAAAATACTCAACTCCACAGGGGAGGAAAACAAAGCGTCTTTCTCTAATCCTATATATGAAGAAATGAAAGATGACCCCTATGCCATCATCCCCGTTCCTTTGGACATGAACCGCAAAAAACCCCGAAACATGCCTTCTACAGTCAGATTTAAAGATGAAGTTGCCATTTACGATGAATTGAAAGAGCAAGAACCTCGTTATGTCAATTACTCAGCGCACGGACATTTCACCATTGATGTCATCCCCGAGGAAGATGAAAATGAAGGGAAAGAGGAGATCAAAGGATCCGAAATCCAGGATGGATCCCAAGAGGGCAAAGAGCTCAACGAGCAGGAGGAAGCGAAAGAAGAGGAGGAGGAAGAGGAAGAGGAAGAGGAAATAGTGGAGATGTGCGACCAAGAGGTACAGACAGACTTGACAACTCTTGAGATGGATGAGGAGACCATATATGAGCTTTTCGGCGAGCCTCAAGATGAATCTCTGTAGGTATCAACCCAAGCCCGATGACGGGTTTAGAAGGTAAAAACAATCGATTCCTCTACGCCAATCAGTCTAAAGCGCACAATGCAAACTACCAAAGGTACTAGGGGCTCGCGTGTCTCGCACGCTTGAATCTACTTTCTCCGCCGTGCTTTATACGTGCGCGTTCTTCGCAGCTTGGGGAAAGGAAACGATTTTCATGGGGGTATATTATGAGTACAGCCTCTTTTGGTAAGTTGTATTCACTGTAATCATTTACTGTCTACATTTTCTCTTTCAGAAATATAGGTTTATTAAGAAGCTAATACAAACCTCGTCTGCGTATCTCACAATTATATAATCTTTTCGCTTTTAATCATAGGTTTGCTGGGTTGCCAGAAGAGCTCCTTTCCGATAAGAAAGGCTCCATCGACCAGCAGAACGAAGCAGAGGCGGACCTGGAAACAGAACCTACTCTGGAAGCAGAGGATCAAGACACTTGTCCTAGCGACGAAGAGAATGAATTGGCATCGGAATCGGAAATAGGGGAAGAGAACAAGGCGTTCTCTAGCGACTGGTCCATCAGCCTCGACAGCGAGGAGGTATCGGTACTGGAAACCTCCCAGTCTGCACCGGAGCCGAAAGTAGTCGGGCGGGAGAACAAGGCGTTCGCGAGCGCCTGGTCCGTCAACCAAAACAACGAAGAGGCAATGGCGTTGGAAGTGGAATCTGCACCACGGTCGGAGCTAGGGAAGGAAAACGATACGTTCTCAAGCGCTCTGTAGGAATTTTCCCCGCCATAGAAGCGTATCATTTAGCAGAATGTGAAGGCAGCTTTTCTTGACTTTTTTAGGTGTTGAAACATTTACCAAGTTTATCGCTTCTCAAATCATGAGCGTTGTTCTAGTTGAGCTTTTTGAAGGTTAGAATCGTTTGCTAGATTTGCTTAGCCATTGCATGTGTCAGGTAATTTTCTGGCGGTTGTATACTTTTATGCCCACATTAAGGGCTGATAGATAGCTAGATACTGAATCAGGAAAACAAAACAGTGTTATTTAAGGAATGGTGCTCTTCCTTGCTTCTCTCAGTCTCCTCTTGAAGGCGAAGCTTCATGCATGTCCAATGATTCTCTACGAAAATGAGTTTTATTTCGTGGGAGTCAAATCTCGTTTTAGCCCTCAGAGATATTCGTTGCACGAAACTAAAGTTAGTTCGTAAATGGCCAACAGATGAAAAAGATGTAATCTCGGGTTTATTTGAGATAAAGCCTTTTCTTTGATTGGACAAAAAACTTCAAAGGTCTCTACATGATTGATACACCGATTAACCGAAATAACACTCGATTGTATTCCTGTTTCATAATATAAATGCATTTTATCTAACAATTTTATAAGAATTCAAGTTCAGTTCATTAATTCACTAAACCCAGCTAAGCAATGAAAAGGAGGAAAATTTGTATCTTCTAACTTGATTGCCAATGAAACGTTTATCATGAATATTATCATTACTATAAATTTCATAATTCTGATTACATTTATTCCTATTATTATTATTATTATTATTATTATCATTATAATTGCCATTATTGCCATCATTGCTATATCACTGCTATTATTTTTTATTATTTGGTAATTGGAGGAAATGTTTGTTAACCATTAGCGAGAATTTCAAATGCTAACCCACTTTTTAAGTTGTACGATATTTACTGTCAGCGGTGTGACCTTCCCTCGTGCACTATTTCTTAGGCTAGCTTTACTTTCATATTCGCCATAAGATACCAATGTTGGATACAAACAAAAGGAAGAGCCAGGTCTTTTTATGATGTACTTAGGAAGTGGCTGGGTTTTTAAACAATATGTAGGCACAAGAGAATACTCTCTCGGTAAGCATAATTACTTAATTATTTGCATCGTTTTAGAGGTGGCTCTCTTATGCAAGCACCAAAATCGTTTGCGCAGACTCACAAGGACCTCATAGCCTTACATCAGTAGTTTAAAGAGTTGTCTTGTTTTGTTTTTTACTTCCATTTATCCACGCGAATGGAAAACAACATTTTCTCTCAGTAATTATAAAATCTGGGACATTCACTGTTTAATTTTTCTCAATCAGCTATGCAGACATCATAACATTTTCATTTTGACATGTTTGAGACAGTTAAAGCATTTGGTAACTGCAAAACATAAGAGAGCTATCTAAAATACTATTTATCACTCGTTTATCTAGGAGGTTGATATTTCAAAGAACTAGATAAAGATACTAAAATTGGTCGTTCCTTAGAATTCTGCCTGCAGTTACAAAATTTTGTAGACACTTAAATAGTTTGTGTAATTTTGGTAAAACGCTGAGGCAGGAATAAAACTCGAGCAAGGAATCGCGAGACGAGTGTGCGAGGCCTGTTTTAATGGCCCACACGTGAACGTGAGCCGAGCATGAGACCCAGAGTCGACTGAGAAGTAACCAATCACAGCTGACTTACACTAATTCATTCCTACAACCAATAATACAACGGAAAAGACGAACAATAGGCTCTCATGAACCAGACCTATGGCCCTTGAAAAACAAAATGATCCTCACTTGATGCTGTCGAAAAGTCAGAGACACTGTCATAGTTAACAGTCCCGGGTTCAAATAAGTTATTTTTTTATGATTGATAAGTTGTTGTTATTTTGAAAAAAGTAGTTTCAATCGATCTACCTCAAATCCCACCGAATTAATATAACACTTTTCCCTTTCGAGGCCCTTCGTTTTAAAATTGACAAAGTTTCGTTTATGAGTATCATCGTTTATCAATCTATCAATCGATTATCGACTTCACGGCTTTCCCAGCTGAACTACCCCAGTCTCCTCTCGATTCTCGTTCAACGAGAAAAACATGGCGGACGCCACGGCAACTCACGAAGGTCCAGACGCAGCTAAAGATACATCTACTCCCCTGAATAACGGATCAGAGGGAACATTTAATGGAAGAATTACATCCACCAGTCGCCCGTTCAGTTCTCAAGAGCCGTGGAATATGCTTTTTTACTGGATGTCAGCTCAATATTATCAACAATATTACTATCAGCTGTGTTCCTACATGTACTATTGGCAAACGCTAGCATCGCATCCAATGTACCAAGGAGCTTTTCAAACCCAAAGTGTCGATCCACAGACGAGTTTAAATCAACAGGGATCACAGGCTATTTTTGGTGGACAACAACCTCAAAATATTCAACAAAACCGTACAGCCCCTTGGTTAAATTTCCAAGCTAGACAACCGGCAGTTAGAACAGGTGGGTTTCGTATCACACTAAAACTTTAAATTGGTCACAAAATGCCGCATTTTATTTGTAAGAATCGAAAATGCAGATGATTTAGTGTATAAGACGGGCTTCAGTGCGGTATTTTATGAATCAGCTTTGTTTGTTGTTATGCGATTATTCGTCTAATTGTACATGTACCCTACTCATTAAAATAACTTTCTTTTTCACTTACTTTTTTTTACAAGTACTGTTAGCTTCCTGACAATCCTTTAGCAGATAGTTACATTGTAATGAACATGTTTCTAGGTACATTATTTGTTTTTAAATGATAGATATAATCTGAAAAGAAGCAAAAGGTAAGTTAATATAAGTTAGATACAGATTTAGAACTAAGGAAATAATTTTGAGGGAAGAGAAGAACAAGATGGCTGAGCTTAACTCTTTAACTCCCAAGATCTCATTATTAATTCTCCTTACTGTCTGCCAAATGATTCTCATTATGTTAGTTTGGAGAATTTCATATCAGATCAATTAGTGATCCAATAATTGATATTTTTCTTTATTCTTATCACTTGTCTGCATGATATTGTATAGATATAGTAAGGAGAAATTCTGTGTTGGTCATTCATGGGAGTTAAAGGGTTAACTCAGTCACACTTTCATCAGTGGAAGCCATAGTGGCCTTACCATCAGTGTGCTGAACACTGGGTTGAGACATCTGGGTTCCAGGCTTGGCCAGGTCATTGTGATGTGTTGTGTTCTTGGGCACAACAATTCACTCTCCCCCCACCCTTTTTTTTCTTTGCTGGTGGGGTGGGGGAGGGGGAAACTTGAGATATCCTGGTTTTCCATCTAAGGAGAGAACAGAAATACTCCCAGTCACCTCATGCCATTGAACCTATGCCGAGTTTAAGCTATATGTTGAGTAAAAGTTCAGATTTCTCCAACAGTGTTTTGATTAGATGAATGGTCAGTAATATAAAATTATCCAACCTCTCAGTTACAGATCTGGTCACTTGATGACAAAATTTTTGTAATTTTGTTTTTTACTTGCAGCTTGTGAAGTTAAGCTTGCCCCTGTTTCTAAGAGGATCTATGCAGAAATACTGGATTTCATCTTTCTCTACTTTACAAAGGTCCTTGTGTTCTCAATATTTTAGTAAGTACAAATAACTTTCATGCAAATTAAATCTCCACAATTAAATAACGGATTAATTTGAGTAACTGACTTTACCACGGAAACTTTTTTGAAATCACAATCTCAGAGAAGACTGACTGAACAAATTAAAGACATTTGTCCATGAGATGGAAGTCCACTAAAAGCTTTTTAACCTTTACACCCTAACATTAGTATTCATATTCTCCAAACTATTCTCCTTACATTCCTCATGGTAATAATAAAGAGAATTTGTTGGAAAATCAGGAGCTTTTTACATTGGAGATCATTTCCTTTATTCTCACGACCTTTACATTTGATTTAACCCTTAAACTCCCGTTAGTGACCAAGACAGAATTTCTCCTTACTATATCTATACAATATCATGCAGAAAAGTGATGAGAATAAAGAAAAATATCAATTATGGGATTACTAATTCATCTCTTACTAAATTCTCCAAACTAACATGATGAGAATCATTTGGCAGACAGTAAGGAGAATTACTAGTGAGACCTTGGGCATTAAAGGGTTAAGGGTGATACTGTAAGGAGAAATTAGAAGCCAGTCACTCTTTGGAGCAAAGGGTTAAAACATTGTTATGAAGGGGGCTTCTAATAGGGTTTCAATAGGTGAGAGCCTTCAATAGGTGTAATAGACAGCTGTGCTATAAGGCAATACCCAAACACAAGAACCTACTTACAGTCTAAACAGGCAGCTGTCAGAGGTTTTACAGGTCAGGGTAGACGGCCAGTAAGTGGCTTCTTATTGAAACCCTTAGCTATTTCTAGGATTTGAAACTAATGATCTCTGCCCTAAGTTCTTTGAAATGCTTTTGATATGATAATCATAACATGGTTTGAGGTTCTGAAAGTGACATTCACTGAAATTATTCAAACAGTTTTCCAGGATTAATCCCAACCAAAAGCACAATCAAATGTTACACCTAGGCTCAAACCATAAACAGTAAAATTGTTGATTTTTTTTTCTTTCAGTGATGATTTGGAGAGATACACACAGTTACAATACACTTTGATAACAGATGATAATACAAGTCTGAAAGATATTGAGGAACTTCTTATACAAGCTTTGGTCTACCGATTTATAGTGTTTGCTTTTGAGGTAAATATTGAAAGATGAGGAAGAATTCTATCATAATTGATATGTTTTCCCATTTTAGTGCTTTTTTCTCCTTCTAAATCTTCAGTATTTTGTGGTTTCCCTGCTGCTGAAGTTTACTGAGCACAGAATGACTCATAAAGATAACATAGCTATCTTCAAGCAAGCTTAATTTACAATTGAATTATCTTAGAGTTATAGCATGTTCAATGAACAATATTTTGGTTCTTCTTATGTCAAGGTGTTTTTCCTCATGGGTGGACTACATGGTAGTGTTGGTGGTGCCACACCTGGCAAGTACCTCATGGGATTGTCAGTTGTGGCAACAGAGACCATTACTACTGTGGCTCCTGGTTTTGATGGTGACCGAGTTAGGATTGAACCTGGTGGTAACCTGGGATTTCGAAGGTACATCATAAATTAGTTAGGATTTATGGAATAAATCACCACAGTGGTGCAGGGCTCCAGCTCACCTTTTTGTTACTCTTTCACCCCTAAGAGTGACAAGAACCTGATATCTTCCTGCAGCACACCTCCTAAATCAAACATCAACCCTTTAACCCCTAAGAGTGACTAAAACCTGATATCTTCCTGCAGCATCCCTCCTAAATCAAACATCAACCCTTTAACCCCTAAGAGTGACTAAAACCTGATATCTTCCTGCAGCATCCCTCCTAAAATTATCAAACATCAACCCTTTAACCCCTGAGAGTGACTAAAACCTGATATCTTCCTGCAGCATCCCTCCTAAAATTATCAAACATCAACCCTTTAACCCCTAAGAGTGACTAAAACCTGATATCTTCCTGCAGCATCCCTCCTAAATCAAACATCAACCCTTTAACCCCTAAGAGTGACTAAAACCTGATATCTTCCTGCAGCATCCCTCCTAAATCAAACATCAACCCTTTCACCCCTAAGAGTGACCAGAACTGGATTACTTCCTGCAGCACACCTCCTAAATCAAACATCAACCCTTTAACCCCTAAGAGTGACTTATTAGCATCTAATTTCTCTTTACAATATCACCCCTCAGTCATGCAGAAAGGTCATGAGAATAAAGAAAATTATCAGCAGCCAAAGAAGTTGTTGATGTAGCACAAATTCTCCTTGTCAGCACCTAAAGGACTGTATGCAGAACAGTATGGAGAATACCTTTACTGATGTTAGAGTGTAAAGGGTTAAGATCACAAGGATAAAGGAAATGACAACCTACAAATTAAAGAAACTCTTGATTGTTAAACAAATTCTCCTTGTCTGGCCCTTAAGAAATTTTTAAGAGAACAGTATGGAGAATATGCATACTGATGTTAGGGTGCAAAGGATTAAACACAATTTGGTGACCTTAAACTATAAAATGTTTACCTAAAGAAATATTTTTGTGAGTTAAAAAAAAAAAGAAAGAAAAATCATTTTGTGCAATATTGTGTACCATTGCAAAATAATTTTTACCTCACTTAATCCTTTACTTCCACGATCTCATTAGTAATTCTCTTTCCTGTTAGCCACACATTTCTTATGATGTTAGTTTGGAGAATTGGGTACTGAATTAACTAATAATCCCCTTATTGATATTTTTCTGTATTCTTATCATATGTCTGCTTGATATTGTATGGATACTGTAAGGAGAAATTCTTTCTTGGTCACTAACGGGAGTGAAAGAGTTAACAGTGTGTAACTTTAGAACATTGATAATATATAGATTTAGCCAAGCCTAAAAGCAGAGCTCACATTTTTTTTTCCCCACACGTCAGGTTGTCTGACTCGGAGCCCAGTGCACTGACCACTGGACTACTGGACAAAGCCATGGTGTTGGCGTGCCTGCAGTACAGTTGACCACGCATGTTAAAAGTAGCACTTTGTACAGTCAGTTGTATGGTCGTACAATCATAAGTCCAAATTTTTTCAGCTTGATGGGTTACTACTACCATTTTGTATAATTATGGGGCTATGCTCTGCGAGCTCTGCTCTTAAGCAATGAAAATGTTACTAGTAGAACTAAGGAAAAATTTTCAAATGAATGGGACTTTGCTCCAATATTTGTTCATCTGTAATTATTAATTAATACTTAATAGATAAAGTGAGCACAAATTAATTTATACACAATTTTATTTTATTTTTTCACAGATCATTTTTAAGAGCCCTTGTGAAGAATTTCTCCATGACTTTTCTCTTCCCAGTCTTTTTGACCATTCTGTTTTTCCAGCACAATCGCACCATCTATGATGTAATAGCCAATTCTACAGTTGTTGTCACCGGTTCACCACAACCTCGACAAGCACAGGATCGCCATCAGTGACAGGGTTGATATAGTTTTGTGCAAAATAATTTGTTAGAGTACATTGTTATACCTTGTGTATTTAAATATTCTCCAAAGTTCCTCTACATAGTCTTTGCCCACATGCAAACACAGAAAAGAACCATGAATTTCAATGAGAGGGATATTGAGTAGAAGTGTCAGTTTGATTTTATCTTGGACAGGAGCAGTGAGGACAGCATTTGGGTGAAATAAAGAAGAGTGGGTGCTTGATAAACATTTTAAGATTACTTTCCCTTGTAAGAAAAACAGAAGTGTCTCTTGTTTGCACTTTTCAAGGAAGCTCAGAAAAATTACTAACATTACTTTAGGTGAGAAACAAAATGTAAAAAGACAGAAAAAGGTTCTTTGTGGCCTTTCTTTCCTCAAGTTGTAGCATCAGTGTCTATACCAGGAAATTAAGAACAGAACACTTTACCAATTGAAGATAAAAGAGCCTATTGTTCTTCTTAGGTGGTATTCATTTGGAGCAAACTTTAAAAATAACCACCCCTTCATTGGGGAGTTGTAGCCTTTTACCTTTCAAACATTTGAAACTGAGTGGACATCCCTGGTTCATCTCCTGAGAAATCAACAGTTGGCCTCAAAATCAAGTAAGAGGTTATTCTCATGACCTTTATATTTGATTGAAGGGTGATAAAATAGGGCGAAATTAGAAGCCAGTTGCTCTTAGATGTTTAAGCATTTTGATCACTCGGCATTAGTCTGTTACAAGCTCTCTGCGCAAAGCCCCTTCTTTGACATTATTAATTGACATTATTAATTGACATTAAGTATTTAGAATGTTACTTAGTGTTTTCTGTAACTGTTCTTTTCACTTAATTATAACAAAGAAGGTGAGATGTGAAAAAGGGATGGAGTATGTGAGGTGTGCAGGTTTGCAACAATTGTAAACCTTTCCACTTTATCAATAAATTTTAATGCCTTACTATGTGAGCTTTTTAATTTTAGAATTCAATTAAATACAGCTTAAATAATCACCATTTACAAAGGAGAAAAAAGTAATCCTTCCCTTTTCCTTTCTAAATTCATCTGCTTTTTTCATACCACCATTCACCAAATGAAGACCTCAAGTTAGCCCAAAATATTTAACTATATAGTTTGAAGATGTATTCATTCCAACATACTTTTCAGTTTTTTTCCCTTAACCCAACTATTTTCTCTACAATTTATGACAATTTTAGTGACCAAGGGTTAAAATTATGATAACAGTTGTATAAAAATTTCCAAATAATTAAATTGGCTGCAACCATGGTTATATCTTCCAGTTACAATTGATTTTACTGAAGTCTTTGAACTGTAACACAGGCAGGGAAAAAATAGAGTGATAATTTTGTCTCAGTAACAAGATTTTCATGCTCAACACTTTCCTGACATTTTACACACTCATGCTGAATTTGGTTTTTGGCAGATGTTCACTGACCTATAAGTTTTCACCTTATTACATTTTAAAATTGGCAATCAGACAGAGTGAAAAAAAAAATGCTTAATAAGATTCTACTATTTTTCACAAGTATGGTAGCCAAATTGGAGCAAAAGTTCAAGAATGAAAATTTGTGTCAAAAACAACAATTAGATATCTAACTTAACAAGGCTTCTCATCAATACAGTTGCCCTGTCAATTTTTCATTTGTGAATTTTGCCACAATTTGGCCACCACAAGCCCTTAACCAAACATCAACTTACATTGCCCAATTACCTCCAACAAGGTGAAAAAGTTCTTATGGTAGTGTCTTATTATTTCTGAATATTTTGGCCATATTTAAGAACACTCTGATATTACAATTGAAAAGCAATACTGATTTAAAAAAATTATTTTCAAATGAGTTTGAACAACAGAAAGAAAAATCTGAACTATAATACATTGTGCAATGACAGCTTTTAAACTTGAGAACTTTCATTGTAGCCAGTGAAGGGAACATGAACCCCTAGGGTAAGTGTAAAATTTCCTAGGGATAAGAAGAGGAAGATCCCAGAAGTATATGGGGAAGAAGGTCTCAAAAAAAGGGGGTGGGGAATACTCAAGTTGTCAAAGATTTTAACTGAGTGTTGCCAACTTTCATTGCTTGCACTACTTGCTTAAAAAGAAAAATCAGATGCAGCTGTCTCATTTGACATGATTAACTGTCCCTAAGACATGCAGAATGATTTTAAAAGCTCTAAAGACATGACAGCATTTTTCTTTGTTATGTATGTCTCCAAGGTAAGGCATGATTTATCTTGTGACAGAAGCAGATCATGGTAACTGGATGATTGGAAGCCCAATATCACCATGCTTTACATTGGTTCTCAAAAGCAGAAGCAACCCACTGATTTTAAAAAATTAGTCGTGCAGCTGTTCCCCCGTGGTCTGGCCTTACATTATAGTTGGCCTTAAAAGGACAGATAATTATCACTCTGACCTTCCTTTTTGATTTCCATTTGAAAAGTGGCATGAAACAAGGTCCAAATGTGTACTAGTTTGATAAAATAAAAACCAAACCCAAGTCTCCTGGTAATGCATGTAAAACTCATTAGGCCTAAAGACTAGAATTTTCCACTGTTTTTCTGTTTCTCAATTTTTTCTGCTTGTGTTTTGCTCTTTGTCTCTTTATCAGCACATATGGGGCATAAAACGGTGCAGCAACCAACCCTGCACCAAGTACAACACAACCAGCACTGACAGCCAAACTTGCAACTACAGGTGCCAATACAACTTTACCACTGAAGAGCGCTCCACGCACTGCTATCCTCTGTGCAGGTTGATTTGGCTTGTAGTTGTATTTGCAGCCCAGGATACTGAAACGATCATAGTGGTTGCCTAAGAATTTAAGATCATGGTACTTCCCGCCACAACGGTAACAGAATTCAGTGTTACATCTGACAAAAGAAAGAAAAATTGGTTATGACATTGGGCACCATGTTGAGAGGGTGCGAGGTAAACTCAAAGCAAATTTTTTTTAAGAAATGGGAAATGCTAATAAGAATTTTCAATAATCAAATTTTCAAATCATTTATTTCATCACAACTGGACTAGACTGATGCTAAGAATGATACAAAAAACTATTTTACCAGCCCCTGTTACAAAGAAGGTCAAATCATGACCCTTCCCTCCCTCCCAAATAATTTAAGGGAGCACAGCTGTGTTTACTAAACGCTTGCCAGTGAAAAATATCTATGGAAAAAGCTACCAAGACGTGTTAAACCTGTTTCTTATGCTAAACGATCATTAAATGACTTAAAAGTTGGCGTCCGAAGTTTTTTCAAAGACATCACTCAACGCACATGTACAAAGATAAACTTTTCTTTGTTTCGTCGATCAAAACAAAAACCTCGATAGGCTAACTAATGTTTAAATCCGATCAAATTCAGAAGATAACACTGGGAACCTCACAGAGACGGAAGTAGCAACCTATGTGTTTTTCACATTAAAATCATAACATAGAAATTTTCATTAGATGGTTCCACGAAAAAACAGTTTAACATTATGCGCTACCAATTTAAGATTCTCACCTGCTACAGCACATGTGGTCGCAGCCGCTGGACTTCTGAATGAAGACATGACATTTCGGACAACGACAGGCGTTTCGAGCAGGCTGTCCCCGATTTTTTGCCCATATTTTCAAAGATTTATCCCCTTTACAGAATTCATTACACGTCAAGCCGTGATGCCAGGGAGCTTGGCAAGCAAAACACCAAACCAGGCGACATTTTGAACATGTTACTTTCATAACTTCCGGACGGGAGACTTTTTCGCGTTCCACTTTCTCCAAGTCTGGGTGTTGATAAATACGCGAACATCCTGGGCATATCTTGATCCCTGGGTTTTGTTCTACCTCCACTTTGAAACGTTCGTATTTTTCGAACACTTCATCAGGAACAAGCTGTCTTATCTCCTCCTCGCTTACTAAACTGTCACAATTGCCCAGAGGACATATTATGGCCACGATAGCTTCGTTTATCTTCGACACAATGTGTGCCTCCAAACAAGACAAACATATAACTCCCGAGCAACATAATGTCCGCGAGATTCTGTCAGGCGTTTCTGCAAAGCAAATCATACAATGTGTCATGGTGCTTTCTGTTCTAACAAAATTCTTCGGTGGTGTGTTTCAATGAAGGAAATTTCGTCGACTCGACAGCTTTATACTGTGTTTCCTTTTGTATGTACACGTGACGAGTGTATTTTTAGAACCCGCGTAAACTGGTTCGAAACAAAACTTTGTGAGTTCTCTTGGTTGTTGACCAAATGAAATTCGCATTCAGCACGAGGTCATAAGTGACGGAGAAGAAAAGAAGTGACCCCGGCTGGCCTGGCATCATCGATCATATCTTCCAGCAGCAGGAATAAAGTAAACAAAGAAATGTTGTTTTGATCATATATTGCCGCTGTTGAAACGCGGGCGCACATTTACGTACAGGCATACTAATGAGGAAAAAGCCATTGTAATTGAACGATGAAATTTGATGAACAAAAGGAGAGCACAATTCATCCAGTAATTGTTTATGAGTCATAACTTATGGATTTCATCACCCAATGAGATTAGAGAGATGAATATCAGATCCAGTTCCCATTTTGCCTACATTACACATCTGTAGATGGAATATTTAAAAATGTAACTTTTTTTAGGGCATGCGAGCTTTTCATTTTTAGCTGACAGTAATGAAGAACATCCTAAACAACCAAAGGTTATACATCAATAAATCACAGAAGAAGTGAAAGGGACATTCACTTTCAAACTTTTCACTCCCAGATCTCATTACAAAAGCACCTTACTGTCTTCCATAGACGAGTTTTCATGATGTTAGTCACAGTTTTGATAGGTAGACAAAGGAATGTTGTTCCAAAATTATCATATTTGATAACATTACTCTTTTAATGACTGATTTTGAATTTATTAATAATACTTTTGTATCGATGCTTAAGATAACAAAAATTGGGAATGAAGGTAAAAGATCATTTGTTCGCTGATCTGTTCCTTTATACTTCTCTTAATCTTTGAAAGTTCATACCAGATTGATGAACTTCAATTTCCCTCAAGGACACCCAACCTTAATTGTCGTATTAAAAGAAAGTGTATTTATTCTCCTTAGTAAAAGTCTTCATTTTTACATCATATTATTAATATTCAATAAATTGATCAACTTTTATAGATTTGAGGCCAATTCTTCAAGAGAATTCAGAACCTTCTGGTACAGTAAAAAAAAAAATAGGCTTAATGATCATATATCAGGAGGTGTCAGCCTAAGTAAATATCATAAAGTTGAGAGAGCTCTTAATTCTAGAGTAATGTGACATACCTTGCTCTAAACTGACCTGCACAGGCAGATTATAATAATAATCATTCAAGCCACCACAAGATTTCTTGATGGAATTTTTCAAAGAACGGAGTGACATAAAAAGAAACATAGTTGCTTTTGATATCAACAGCAACTTTGCCATGCAAATCATTCAAAAAAATACACCAACTAAGAGATATTATGTGGAAAATAAGAAGACAACATCACATGTACAAATTTCAAGCATCCTTCCTCATCTATACATCCATCTATCTCTTGGGATCAAGTAAAATCAGCTTTAAACATTGTGAGAAAAAACAATGTTAACATTGTCTTATAAAAGAGCTCAAAAAAGATATAAAACATTATTCATGATACTGGGAACTGTCATGATCAAATTATAGTTCACCCAGAACTTCACAAAATTCCTGAACCTTACAAGAGATTTCTGTCACAACAGAAGCAAATAATGAATTTCCTCAAGTCAAGTTATGTGAAGCATACCTATTGTATTAGATTTACAGTTCATAAAATGGCAAATATACAAATATGTGTTTCCAAGAATAGAGTCACAAACATTCACAAACACACCACTTTAAAGAACTTTGTCATTTTCATTTACAATATGCCACTCCTTACTTAATATTAATATCAAATATCAGAATATCATCACATGAAAACAATTCAATTTTTCCTTGTTTTTGCCATGAACAAGCATTCATAGAAAAACATAACAGTATGCAAGTGTCTTAAAACTACAAGTATTCCTCATAACAGTAACAGATACCTACACTTTCTAACAACACAGCATTTACTTTTTAACTAAAATTAACTCCTAAGAACAAGAATATACATATAATTTATTTTCTCCTATTTTTTCACTATAATTTACTTTCTCCTATTTTTTCGCTTTATGGCATGCTGCAGTACAGCATTGTGTTCGAGGTCAGCTTTGGTGAGAAGCTGTCCACAGACTGGACACTTAGCTCTACCCCTCCCTCTGCTAATGTGCTGAAAAATTGCATCTTGTTCATAGTTATGTCCACATATTTTACTTTTCATTGGTTTGACCATATCTTTCAAAGTCAGTGGACACTTTGTTTGTTCTACAGGTGCCTGGAAATAAAATGAAAAGACTTGAAATACTCCATAATATAGTTAACATGTTAAAGCACTTAGTCTGATTATCTGTATGAAAATAATCCTGAAAAGGTCTCCTTAGGCAAGAGTGACATGCATATTGACAAACTGAGCTTGAAACCATGCGACTCTAAGGGCAACTGGCGTCTAATTTTTTCCTTACAATATTATCCCCGTATCAAACATTAATATCACAAGAATAATGAAAATGATTCATAACTTAAGAAGATCTTGATTGTTGAACAAGTTCTCATTGCTTATCTTTTAAAAAAGTTACCTTTTGGCAACCTTCCATTGTAAAATGGGTGTCATAAAATAATATTTTTTGTCTTTCACAGACACCTCATGTGACCAATATGATACTCAGATGATGCCTTAGGATGAAGTTTGAAAACAACAAACCAAAACTCTAGAAAATGAAATAAATGTGGAATGATAAATCCCTTTTCCATGGTCTAGCGTATTATAGGGATGGATATTTTGCTCATTATTGGTGTTCTTCCTCAATGCAATTTGAAAAATATCCACCCTTAATATAAGTTAAACTATTAAATACCCTGGAGATATTTTTTTATACCTGTGACATTATAATATCTTCATCTTGTGTTCCTGGCTGTGTGTTTGTCTGAGGCATAGGTTCCCCCTGATGATGAATGTTCCATAATTTCTCCCTGAATTCTTTCACCTTGGGGTGAGAATCAAGATCGGAAACTTTGCTGTTCTTTTCAAGAGAACTCAACTTTTCTTTGAAGATATCTTCAATGTTTGGAGAATCATCACTGAGAATGAATAAGGCTTTGGGTCAGTTCTAATTTATAGTACAGGTAAATACAATAAATTTGCTTGCACAGCTAAAAGTAACAGCCATAAGATTTTCAACAAATGAAATGAATCTTTGTGATAAAAAACAATGCTAATGGCTGTACAAATGATATCCACAGCACTGAATATAATTTCACAAGCAAAACATCGGTCTGTAAACAAGGTCAGCATTTATCCTAGGAATAAAGAGTAAATTGGCTTCATACAGTCTCACCTATTTACATCATACTTTCGATTAAACTCCTCCTTCGCTAGCTCGACAGCTTTCATGCACTGGTCCATCTCTCTCTCCATGCTAACATACTGCAGCATCGTATCTTCCAACTCTTTCACCAGCTCGTTGTCTTTACTAACTTCTTCCAAGTCCAGCGCTACATCTAAAGTTACACCCAAGCCATTATCTACATATTCCTTCACTTTCCGAACTTTCTCAACCGCGTTGTCTACGGCTCTAAAGTGAGCAGGCATTTTGAAGTTGTGTTTTATAGATACGGGGAAACAGGAATCTCAAAGATGGTGCCACATGATGGCGGGAAGTTCAGAAATGGCGCAGCGAGTTTGGAGTCAGCGGTAGGGCGAAGAAGGTAGAGCTCTGGGACGAGGATTTGTTGACACGGTTTACGGTCAACTCGCCATCACGACAAACGAGCCACCACCAACCTCGCCATTGCTAGGAGTCAACTCGCCTCCGCTGGCAAATTGACTCGTTGACGATCGTCTTTTAAGGCTCTGTCATTGGAATTCTAACGTCTCAGAAACTGTCGATAGGGAGATGAATGAAAGATAAATATCAAAGGTACAAAGAAAATATATAAAGCAAAAGAGACGACAAAAACCATCATTTCCTTATTTCTCTTTTGCAAAATTTTAAGGAAATGAAGAGGCAAAACCACAGCTGAACGATGTCTGCACGAAATCGATCGACTATTTATATTTAGTTTCATCGATGATTTTAAAAAAATACAGACAGCTCAGCAAATGACTGATGCTCGAGGATAAATGAAAGTTACGTTACTTATCACTACAATTCAACTGATAACTCCGTGATATAAATTATGATATCTATTGACACTAAACAAGCCCAGCTAATTCAACACGTTTTTTTTACTTAGTATAATTTCCTTGTCGATCAGTTACGAAAGCAATCGCCTAGCCTGAGGTGAACTTTTAATTTGATATATTTGTTTTGGTGTGATTATAGGAACAACTAAATTATGCCTAATTTGAAAAATCAAAATATTTCATGATGGGTATTCTGATTATTAGGGCTTCACTATTACTTGAACGAACGAACAAATGAATGAATGAATTAGTGAATAAATGAATGACTGTTTGAATGAACAGATGAACAGATGAATGCATGATAATTTCGCGCATAATTGCAAGAAATAATGATTCGAAGGACAAACAGATATTTTTATATATATTCAAAATTTTGCTCGGAATGATGTTTATACTGCATGTCATATATTTCTATCATGCGTATTAAAAAAGTTTGAGAAAGGATCCAAGCGTAAAGTTTTTCAAATGAATAAATCAGGTGAAGATGACATTCTTAGTACTTTGAAAGCCGCTGGTATTTCTCGACATACGATATTTAACTTTCATTGTTGAGGAAATTACACAGTTATGAATTGACAGTAGCTATCAAGCTGAAAAATGGTGTCTCGGACGTCATTGCTAATTCAAACGTCACTGCATCACACACATCAAACAAACCAAGACAATGTGTTATTTGCTGACTTCATTTTTAATAGAAAAATGAAATCCTATTTGACGCATAGAGCCAGTCATATTTGAACAATTTCAAATGAATCCATTTATGATTACGATATAAAAGACATCATCATCATTTTGTACTCAAATTGCAACCATTGTAACTTCGTGCAGCCTGATTTCTTGTATTCCTGTAACTGATCCAACTTTATATCAGAAGGTATACAGAAAAGATGGCAGAATTGGCCATACATTTCACCATGAGTTCCTCTATGAATTCCTCGCTAAACGAAACACAAATGTCCAATGGCCTGTTGAACCGCGAAGTTGAAATTCTCCGCAATCGCTTTTTTGTCATTTGCCTTATCTCCACTTTCTATCTTTGTTGTCTATCAGTTCTGACGACTCTTTCGAACTGTGCATTGTTGGTAGTCCTTTATGAAGACCCATTCAAGACATTTCGTCATCCTCCAAACGTTTTCATCTTCGGATTAGCTCTGGCGGATTTTTTCACCGGAATCGCAGTGGATCCACTATTTGCGTATTTTTACTTTAAACTCTACAAAGATACATTCAACGACGAAGATTACAACCGCACTTTAAAACTGGCTGGTTTCCTGTCTGGCATAACAATGAACGTGTCTTGTCTAACAATTTTGTCTCTCTCTTGGATGCAGTTTATTGCGATTACGTTTCCACACCGCCACAAACAGCTTGTTACGACGAAAAGGGTAGTAGCTTGCGTTTGCGTTATATGGGTTTACTCGCTGCTATTCTCCTGCTCGTTTTTACTGGGCATTCCAGAGAAAATTATCCAAAAGATAGATGTATTTTTTAATCTGTCCTTCACAAATTTCCTCGTCCTCCTCTCGTATATTGCGCTACACATTTCGTACCGTCGTCAAGTTGCTCGTTTATCTCCGTGGCAGATCGATGGCACTTCAGAATATCGAAGAAAACGAGACCAGAAACATTTTGTTGTGGTAAGCTTACTTCTTGCTACATGTCTACTGATTTTTGTCGTTCCTGTGACTGTTATGTGGTATTTGACGCTTTACTGGAGACCAGAGACTTACGAAGCACAAATCAAGGCTACAATGGCGAATATTACTATAGACACGACTCTATTTCTCAAGTTCCTCATTGATCCGTTTATCTACGCTTGGCGACTTCCTAAATTTAGGCAGGCAATGAAAGCAATTTTTTTGAAGAGACGTCGGGCGTCCTCCAACGGAGCTGTGAATTTAACTTTGTACAATTTAAACATTCATCCATCTTCTAGTAAAGTCAGCTGATATATTTGCAGGCTTTAAGGGATTCTTTTGTTTTCGAAACAAGAATGATCAGTTTTAAGAGATTTTGACTTCACTTCTCAAGTCAATTCAATGACAATTTAAAACCGAGATATTTCTGTTCCAATAAAAAAAACACAGCTATTTCAATTTAATGTCAGCTATTATCCTTGAAGATGTAAACTTTTCCGTCAAATTTGCGCAACATTGGCTGTCAAACAAAGTTATCTTTTCAGATGTAGACCAAGGAATCGTTGGCGACAATTCCACCAAACATGGGTAAACCAAACATAGTTTTTTTTTTTTAATAAAAAGATATTTCACCTATTTCTGCTTATGTGTACAACATTAAACATCGCTATAGCGGCTATTAACTTTTTTTTTTCTTTATGGAGCCAGGTGAAAAATTCGAGTACGTACACTGACTGAACTCATAAAATTTCAGCACAAATGTTTGCAGCTGAAAGCTCGATTTATCGAGATTTGTTTACCTTTAAGAGCAGCTATTAAACAGTTTTTGTCACATTTTACAAAGGCTTACAACTATCACTGATTGCGAAAGGGGAAAACTGTTCAATTAAAAAATTTGTCTGGCTTCAATCCTAGCCTGATCTAAATTTTGAAAGCTTTATTTAGATATCGCGGTAAAATTACTTGCAGCATCTCTCTGAAAATTGATAGTACCTTTGCCTTACCGTATCGTAAGCATATGTTTCAAAACTTTGGCAGCCACGTTTAACATAGCTTATGTTGACATTGTTTAAGGCGATTGTGAAATTTGATCAATAGCTTGGTATTTTGTGCTTTTTCTTTTTCTTCGCTGGAATGAAACATGCGAAAATCGCGAGGAGTGTAAAAGCCTGAGAATGCATTGAGTTAAATTCTGAGAAAATACCATTGAAAAGTTCTGAATTGCAGACATATGAAAGAGAAAATTAAGGTTTTTTCCCAGTCAAGGAATATCATCTCAACTCTAATTGTCGTCTATATTGAAAATTTACATTCAGATCGCTTATTAAATACTAACATCAATATCGACTGTTCTAGTCTCGTGAAAGGGAAAGATCAGAGTTGGTGATCAGAATCGCATTTTATAATCTTCTTAATGAGAAAATCAACTAAGACATTTAATCATATCAGAAAGAGGGAGAGAGAGATCCTCGTGTTTAAACCCGAGAAGACAAAAACGGACTTAAGCGTGATGAAATCAAAATTGTTTTAATAAGGGAAGAGCATTGATCAATGAGGCTTTGCTAAAGAGGCCAACGAGAAGGCAATCGAAGCTGTTAAATTAATGTAAACGAAAGTTCGTTTTTGTCCATTGGTTAAGAAATGCAGCACCACTACTCATTTCGGGAGGAAATTGATTTTCCAGAGAACTCTATTTAAACGCTGTTGGACTTCCGTTTACATAAGAAGCACGATTTGACAGGTAAGTAAATTTTAAAAAATGGATACTAATTACTTTCTGAGCGCGACTTCATTTCCAGCTCTGTTTCAGTAGATCGAGCTTCAAAATGGCGTTGAAAATTGAGACTAGTAAATATTACATAGGAAATTATAACAGCAATCATAAAAACAACCTTTATTTGACAAAATCACAAAGTTTAGTTTAGCAAGTGTTGTCTGAGCTAACAATATTTCAGAAATAGACCTAAATGAGGTATATATTATGCTACTCTTATTTAGATCTGTTGATAAAATCAATTTAGGATGACTTCATCTTCAGTAATATAAGTTATTTTGCGGTGATATTTTCAGAGAGAAGTTTTTAACAATGAACTTCCTCACTGTGAAATCAAGATGTTCAGTCGATTACTAATAGTTTGACTATTCAAGATGTATTGAAAAGATTCAAAGGTTTACGAACTGCTCAACAGTATCGAGGGCTCATATTTATGCAAAGAGAAAGTTGAGGACACGGAGAATCTCGCAGTGGAAATTATTTGTGTTAAGTTCAGACAATTTGATTTTAAATCAAGGTATCAACCCCACTAACTAATCATTTAGTTTCTCCACTCTCAAAACCAGTTGGTCAAATGACGCATCGGCATTGTAAGGAGAAAATAGGTTTTTATCATCTCTGGAATTTAAATAAGTACTTCCCTACGATAAAATGAATCGTCTTAATGAGGCGAAATTGGCAAAGTATAGACAATGGCGGACAATCGACCACCTGCATTCCCTACCTGCATTTCGGTTTAAGAGCAAAGCCACCAGAAACCTTGTGGGTAGTGCAACAGGTCACTTTGGATTCAAACCAGTCATGAAAAATTATTTTCAAATCACATAGATGGAATCTAACTTTTCTACTGGAATTTAGCGAGAAATTTTTGAGGTATGTACGCAAACTACAGTCACAAGTGTTTTTGGAGAGTTCACCATATTTTAAGACAACTTTTAATTCTAGTATTGAAACTGAGTGTCTTTCAACGAAATTTGAACCAAGCTATCATTGAGCCGATCGCTTTGAATTTTCTGGTCGCGATTAACGGTTTGATTCAATTTTGGTTGTAAATAGCAGGAGATCTTCTTTGTATCTATGATCTATTAGTATCGTGTTATGTGTGTTAGCCTCAAACCTAATGCTAGTTGGTATTAAGGACTCCAGACCGAGAGGTCTGGGTTCGAACTGTAAGCGGGAGTTCTGCTTTGTTCTTAGAAACGACTCTTAAGTGAAAGGAGACTCAATGCTCCACTTGTCTCAGCTCAGGAGTACAAATCAGTATGGGAATTCATTGTCAGAGTCAAGACCTAATTAGTTCGGTTTTGAAATCTCCACAGTCCTTTGAAGGCTACAGTCGGCATATGCTGGCTGCCCTCCTTCGAAGGATCTGACCACAAGATTCACTGTTATTCCCAGATGCAAATTTATCATATTTTTCTGAGAGGTGATTTTAAACTTTTCATGTTGTTTGGGTTTGTTTTTCCATTCAGAGGAATGCTTCACACCGCATGTTGCATTCCTGTTCAAGGATTTCTCCTGAGACGATTGCCGTTATGTCTTGCATGCACTGTTGCTATGGTTATTTTGGCAATTTACTCAGGTAAGGGAATTGTCATGCAGAGGCATTTAGCCACCACAAAGTCAATGGTAGTGCAGAAACTTCATTCCATGGTTAAGACATTAGACATAGAGAAATGCTGTGGTGTACATGATGTAAAAGATCTAGCAATTTTCGAACTGTCTACAGCCTTACATAATTAGTATTGGAAAATGCCTAGAAACTCCAAATCATGTCCTTAAAAAAAAAATATCCGAATCAGCTTCCCTTTTCCCATTCTTTCGAGTTCAGGTTTCTTATCGGACTGTGTAAAACGTATCATCTCAAATATAATCCTAGTAGATTTTTAAGTGAATAATTTGCACCAGTTTGTGAAAGTTATCCTAACCTTTTGGCTCCCACGATCTGATTATTAATTCTCTCCTCTAGCTGTTGTACATTTCCCTTTCAATTAGTTACAAGACGTTAATGTTTGAATATTCTCTTTACCTGTTTGCTGGAGAATGTATGAATTTTACAGGGAGAAGTTACATGTTAATCCCTTCTGGGAGTTAGGGGGTTAAAGTGCGAAGGCTCCGCGTTGTTTGAAACGACAGTGCACCATTATAAAGTTTCCGTACATCGAGTTGCAGATCTGAGAAAAAAAACCTGTCTCATTTATTTTTTCCTTCTTATATGCCAGGTTACAGTTGCACAAGAAGTCGTAACATGGAACAATCGAGCAGTCAACGATCTTTTAGCAAAGCACTATCAAATGAAAGCCCTCGAATGAATATGGAGAACGACAGCCCTTGCTTAAAGGATGCCTTTAAAGAAATTTTACTCGTTATTGCTTACAACTATCCACTTTATGACAGTATTCCTCATCTAGCGGCTCTTTACAGACCAGCTTTTCCTCATTTGTTATTCTGCGGTCCTCCTCATAATACAACACGTTCTGGAATTTTAATTGTCGATGTTTACAGAGGTATTTTAGGATATGAGTGTCTTGGTAGGGCAATAAGGGAGCATCCGGGATACAAGGGGTATTTTTATATAAACGATGACGTCATACTTAATTATTGGAATTTCCTGGATTTTGACAGAGGAAAAATTTGGGAATCTTCGTTCTCGTTTGGTTCTACGCCTATTTATGAGCCCGCGAACAGTAACTGGTACTGGTGGATATCTCCGTACGGCTTGAACAATTGCCGAAGAGCTTGCGAAGACGTGGCGAACATGAACTCGGGGCCGAAAAAACTTAACGTAAAATATCACATAAGCGCTCTCTTTAAGAACAGTAACGGAACGTTACGATGTTTCAGTGGCCGCTCTGATATTCTGTACATTCCTTACAAACACGCCAAAGCATTTTCAATACTTTCAGAGATTTTCTACGAAAGAAAAGTTTTTCTGGAAATTGCCATTCCAACTATGATTCGTTTCCTGGAAAAAAATGACAATATCGGTCGACTCCCGGGCTACTATATTCCAGGAGATGTACGCAAAGGTGACCCGCGAGTCACTGATAGCAGGTTTTTCTGGTTTGTGTACTTTCCGAAAAACAAGTTGTGGTTCATCCATCCTTTCAAACTGCACCAGCACGAACTTGATAGCAAATTCAACATGGTCATGTTAAAATTCATTCTCATAGAGAAAGTTAAATCACTTACGAACTGCAGGCCCTTAACGTTCTCCAGTAGGAAACCAAAAAAAAATTGATTATTTTTATCGTTTGTTTGTTTGTTTGTTTTTTAATCAAATGCGATGTCATTTAATTTGACCTCAACAGCCCAGCTTCGATATCTTTCGACGCGAGCCCAGAAGACTGGGGAGAGTGCCTGTAAGTGAGGCCAACACTCAAACTCTTATATGGGACTAGTTATTATTTATTGTTCTTAGCCGTGCAGTGGGGGGGGGGGGGGGGGGGGGGGATGCTGAGCCTCTAAGGCTCTGTTGCATTCTAATCTCCTCCCCTTAATTCTCCATTTTGATTTTTGAGGTTTCCTTTGAGCGCTGTCCTTGTTACTCGCAACGAGCTAACTATAATAAAGCAGAGTGTGAAACTGCGAGGCTGGGGAGATGAACATACCGCATCACATGATATCTTTTCTCCAAGAAAACCGGTGCCGTCATTGGTAAATGTCCCGGAAGACCGATGACGCCAAAGGAGACTGAAACACTGCGATGATTTGGATGAATACTATCCTGCCGTCAGAAATTCAGCTGTCCGATCGATGTTTTTGTGGGTGGATAATTTCTTTTAACGCATGACGGAGGACTTTTTGGAATTATCTATATTTTTAAAGTCAACTTCTGGACAGAAATGATATTCAATCAGTAACCGGTAAGTTTGGTCTTCGACTTGGGCAATCTCACTATACTTTTCTATTTTTTTATTTAGTTACTAATTTTTTTTTCATGGCCTAATAAATTTTCTCATTTGTAAAGATCTCGCAATCCATTTTTAACTATGAACGGCTGTGTTTCTGGCCTGTTAATGTTGAATTGATTTAAAATGAGACGATTTCTTCACTCATTAGAATTTGTTGATGGCTCAGGAAAGTAGATTATGAACCAGATAGTACACTGAAAAATCCGCCAAGAAACCCGTGGAAAAACAGTTGTTTTTTTTCTTTCTATTTTCAAGTTTGTTTTTCTTAACTCTAAGAGGTGCGATAGCCTCATGATTAGTGCGCTCGACTCCGGATCGAGTGGTCCGGGCTCGAGCCCTGGCCGGGGTCATTTTGTTGTGTTCTTAGGCAAGACACTTTACTTTCACGGTGCTTCTCTTCACCCAGGTGTACAAATGGGTATCAGCAAATAAGCTGGGGGTAACCCTGCGATGGACTAGCATCCCATCCAGAGGGGAGTAGAAATACTACTAGCCGCTTCATGCTAAAGGAAACCGGAGTTAAGCGCCGGCCCCATGGACCACTTGGGCCTGTATAAATGCTTTCTTTTTCATAACTACTTTCAATAATCTCTTTTAGAAAACTGAGAGCAGAAAAGATCGCGTCCAAAATAAGAGCGTGGGTATAACATGAACTGAGAGACAAAAGGTTTTTTTTTGACGTTTTTTTGGACACGCCAAACCAAAAACAAGAACCCCTTGACGTCTTACTCGACAGTATTTTTCAACAGGATGGTTTTCCTTCAAATCATGGCAGTGGTTCATTCTCTTTTAAACGTCATCGGTCTATCTGGAAATTTACTGGTGATAGCCACGGTCGTCTTGGAGAAAAAACTTCATGTGATGCGTTATATTTATCTCGCCAGCCTAGCAGTTTCAGACGCGCTCTGCTTAATCCTGGTCAACTCTCCCCGAATAACAAGTACAGCAATAGAAAGATGGCCGTTTGGCGAGACTCTGTGTTATCTCAATCCCTTCTTTGGGAGATGCCTATATCTAAATACACTTCTTCATCTGATAGCTGTATCTTATGAGCGATACAAGGCCATTGTCAAATCTCCTTTGACATACAATGGTAAGATAACTAAGTGCAGGGTGCTGTCTCTGGCTCTCATCTGGCTGATCCCGGTACCATTCTCCGTTGGTCCGTTACTCGGTTGGGGAGAGTTACTATATACATATAACCCTGAAGTGTTCGTCTGCGAACATAGATGGTCCGTAAACAACACCACTTCCAAAATATTCATCAGTATTTTCGCCGTGACTTCTTTTCTCTCGCCCTTTCTCGTGATCTTTTTTCTGAACCGATCAGTTTTAAAGACGGCAAACAATTTGCACGCAAACGCAATAGCTGCGATCCAGTTAGGATGTTTTTCAGATTCCGAAAGCCAACCGCGAAATGCAGCAAGGAGGTTTAACGAGCGGAAGGCAGCTGTTGATGTTACCATTATCATCTCGGCTTTTCTGGTTTGTTATGTTCCTTACTGGTTCGCTGGTCTATATCGTCTTCACATCGAGAGCAGCAAATTTCCAGCTGAGGCAATAATTGTGGTGAACTGTATCTTTTTAGCTAACGCTGGGTGTAACCCCATAATTTACTCCATCCGTAAGAGGGATTTTCGAGCCGGAGTAAAAAATATCTGGGGGCGGATTTGTGAAATGTGCAGAACCTGCTTGAATGACATCAGGGAAACAGAGGTTATTACTGACAATTTCAGATCTCTTTTCATTTTCCGGGGTGAAGTTTTCACTGTAAGAACAACCACCGCACCTGCGTTAGAACAGCGGAATAAAGAACTTCAAGTTAATGGCGGCGTAAAACAATTTGCAGTAAGACTTTACAGAAGTGATCTTTCTTCGATTGAAGAGGTCCCAGAACCATAAGATCAAACACAACAATAATAAAGAAAAAAGCATCTGAAAATGTGTTTCGAGCAGGTGTTAGATGTGTTTAAGACGAATATAAAGAATTTGAGGACGCTCTAATGATATCAAGTTCGGAAATCGTTTAAGCAAAATAATTTCAAAGTCGAGATTTGCAGGAAAGAACCTCAGCGAATGCAAAGAAGTGGTGCATGACACGGCCTAAACTTTAGCAGACTTAACCATTGAATGAATTTCACTGCGTGTATAAATCGCAGATTCCATTTCGTTCTTTCGACACCTTAGATAAAATTGAAAGGAAATTGGCCTTCGAACACCTACTAGCAAAATTCATATTTTTCAAAATCACAATTCGCACCGATAAATCCTTTCCTTTATCAAATTTTTACAATCTTCATTCTCTGCCATCGATAAACACTTCTCACAAACGAGACGAAAGGTTTTTCTCCCCATTGAGTCTTAGCAGTTCGGAAAGCGACAAGACTGAAGAACAAAAATTTATATTTCAAATCGGCACTCTTAATCCTAAGGTGTTAACGAACGCTTTTCATTCAACTAATCTATTCTTGTTTTTGTCGTTGCTATGTTCCCACCAATAGCGTGGGTCCATTTTATGCATAGAAGCACGCCTACAACCCACGTTTCCTCCTTCGCCGATTTATGTTATCAACTCAGTAGATAATACCAATTTTTTTTTCTCATCAGCCGTGAAAATATTGATAATCTTATCATAGGCTAGGTACACGTATTAGGGCTGAAATATGAACTATGAACTCAAAACTACATCACGAGTAGTCCTTACTTTTCGGCCAAGCTCGTTGCGCAAGTAACGTTTCCTACGCTTATCTCGTGTTCTCCCAACTTCCCAAGTGTTTACATCAGGCTATGTAAACACGGAAACCATTTTACATTTCTTCATTAATTCTTAAAACAGGCCTTGTAAAATTGAATGTTGTTCAGAATAAAAATTTAATTCAAATACAGGACTTGTTAAGGCTACCATAAAACATTATTCGACTGCAGCGTTCTCTGCAAAAAAACATAATTAACTAATCGTTATTTCCCCCTATCAAGATATTGATAAAATTTCAAACAAGATCGTCATTATTACCGCTCAGACGGTCCGTTACTTTGTATCAGTAGCGGGATATGAATATTTTAATGGGCGACCACTGTGTCGCTGGAAAAGTCCTTGGCTTTTGTTCGACGGTTGAACGTAAAGCTGGTAAACTGGGTCTCGCGCACGACATTGAGGCAAATCTCGTCCTTCCGCCTTGATTTAATGAACTAGGCCCATTTTCCTCGAAAGGGCGCTACTTCTGAGGAGAGAGACACGACACCGCTCTCCATGTGCCTTCATTTTGATTGGTCCATAACCGAAATCAAGGTATTCAACAACAAATCAAAAGAATAGGCCATTGATCTAGGTGGTGACCACTTTGAATAAATTCAGCATGCTCATGATATCGTGATCTCAAAATAGCCACAACACCGTAAGGGTTTACTCTGAACGCGACAAAAGTAGCGATTAGATCAACACGAATTGCAACTTCATCATCAGCCAGACTCTCAAACATCTTCAAAATCTAGTTGTAATTATTTTTCTACCAAATTATTTAATTTTCTTTGGAAGACACTTCTTTTGTGCGGTAAGGAATGCACGTCTCTCCGCATTTCCCCAATGGTACCACCGCATACCATGAGCAACGAAGGCTCACCGGCTCTGCCCTCCAGCTAGCTGTGAGAGGTGTCCAAAAGTCTCTCGCGCTGATCTACAACAGCTTCGCGAGATGACTCTCCTCGTGAGAGGTTCGGGTCAGTAACCACAGTAACCTGTAAATGACAACGAAAAATGAACACTCAATCTTTAGATTCTGTAAGCGGCAGAAACGCTTGACTGCACCCTTGAGCAAGCACAAAACTAGACTATAATTATCCCAAAAGCGATTAGATTGATAAACAAAAGAAAGAGGAGTGATGTCAGCGCTGACGGAAAGTTCCGAATTTGAGTAAACCAGACGGCGAAGAATCCATCCACCTTGAAAGGCGTTTACAAACAACTTTGTTTCCGGCGGAGTATTATTCCGATTCAAAAAGAGGAAATTGATCTTTCTCAGCCATTCGAAGACGCGCACACGCCATATCGCGCTTTGACGCAACGAAAAAACACAAGAGAGCGTGGGAAGCGCCCTAGTTTGGTTTTTGATTCCAAAGCGACCGTAAAACGACTCGTTGTTCCGTTTCGTTTTTCGTTTCCGATTACAGTGTGCGCACTGAACACCCCTTTAAACGCTATTGACCCTTCACACCCTAACATCAGTATGCATATTCTCCTTACTGTACTCTATACATTTCCTATGGTTATGACAAGGAGAATTTGACTAACATCAGTATGCATATTCTCCTTACTGTACTCTATACATTTCCTATGGTTATGACAAGGAGAATTTGACTAACATCAGTATGCATATTCTCCTTACTGTACTCTATACATTTCCTATGGTTATGACAAGGAGAATTTGACTAACAGTCAAGAGTTCTTTCAGTTGGCGATCATTTCTTTTGTCCTCGTGACCTAAATTTTTCATTCAGCAGTGATAACGTGAGGAGAAATTTGCTTTTATTCACTATTAGGAGTTAAAAAGATTTAAGGGTTCAAGGATTCTTACAAATTTTTGGGTGCAATTTGAACTTCAAGACTTTGCGAAACTTTCGACAAATCTTAATATCCATTTTCCCGAGTCAGAGCTATGAATAAAATCACACATCCTGCCCAAAAATGTAGTTTTGTAGGGTAAGGCACAAAATCGAATACCCCAATCACACTACTTAAAACGTTTTTGCTAATGGAATTAGGGTAGATTCTATTCAGCGACCTTGCAAAGATTTCACGAGGCGGTTCCTAAAGTCAAATCAAAATCAAATCTCCAACCTTTTCTTATGACGATATCTTTATTTGACAGACATTCTTCCAAAACTTGTGAACTGATTTACCAAATTTTAAAGGCTTCTCCAAAACTTCAAGATTGCCTTATATCATGGCCAGAGCGACCGAAAACGGCCACAGAATAATGCCCGAAAAGTACTCAGTATTGCTTAAAATAAACCTCATGCTTATAATTTATTTTAGCAATCCTTGTGGTTAATTGAACTGAAACTAAAATAATTAAAACGGACGATCAAAAACGGGCAAACTACCGAAAGCGCGTTAAACCGCGGGCGACCAAATCACGATTGGTTTTCGTTTGGCGTCTTATTAGTTGAGAAGGTTTTGGACCAATCACTAAACGGAGTAAAGCAAAACCAAAAGCTATCTAGGATTACTTTTGATACTCTATTGAAAATTACTCGATTAACTATAAGAATTTCTTGCTAAGAAATGTTAGTGTCTTCAATCGCTGGAAGGCAACTTCAACAAGATAGACACTAATGCGGTGCGGTGTTTCCATAAATAGGGTGAATGGACTTTTTTGCCCATGGTTTTCCTGTGAAAGGTTTCTTATGAAGGCTGGTTGCAAAAGTCGAATTACTTGCTTCAAAAGTCGAGTTGTCCACGACTATCGTGTCTTCTGAACAACTTGGAGTTCTTCCAATCAGAGGCTGGATGGCCCGTGATCTTTGTCGTCTTACGCTGGAGATACTGTTTCGGTGGCCAGCTTCAAAATCCGAGTTTCTCATGCCCCTTGTGTCGTCTGTGCCACATGAAATCCTTCCATGCAGAGACCGAATGACTTTTAATTCTTGTGCTGTTGCCGTGGAGGCATAGTTACGAGCACGTGTTTCACATGCCAAATTGTTAACAACGATTGTGCTGTCGGTGCCGAACGAAATTCCAAATGCTCTTCCAATACGCCTCAACACCATCTTCACCCCACTTCGAAATTCTCTTTTTCGAATGGAGTAGATTAAAGGGTTGCAAACCGAGCTTGCAGCGAATATGCACCTTGTGGTTAAAATGGCTGCGACCGGAACATTTTCATAATACAAACGGCTTACACTTAGAGCCCAGCCGGGAAGAAAGCAGAACGTAAACACGGCAATGACGATGGCAACATCTACAACAGCTTTCAGCTCCCTGTGCGTACTGGGCATCTCCTGTTGCTGATTTGGGTTAGAGCCCTCGATGCTGCCCATTTGCAGGGCTAAAGAATTTCGCAGTAGGCTTCTCGCCGTCTTCACAACTTGCCTATTCAGAAGGACGACTATGATGAAAGGAACAACCCCGAGGATTAGCAGAATAATCGCAATGATGATTCTTCCCGAAGAAATCGCTTGCTCGCACAGGAACAGTTTGGGGTTTTGAACATACCTCCAGACACCGAAAACGGGAGAGATGAAGACTACAGTCGGCAGTAACCAAATAAGAACTATCCCTACAACCCTGGAACTAGTCATAGCGGCACTGTAGGTCAAAGGTGACTTCACTATGGCGTTGTATCGCTCGTACGATACAGCTATCAGATGAAGTGCCGTGTTGACGTAGAAATATCGCACCAAGATTGGATGGAGGCGACAAAATGTTTTTCCGTACAACCAATTCTGTTGTGCTGTGCTTAAAATGCAGAAAGAGTTCACGAGAATCAAGCATAGGAAATCTGAAAATGCAAGGCTCGCAAGTAAAACATGTCGCATGATGCGGAATCTTTCAAATGCGATCGTCACCATAACAAGTAGATTGCCAGGAAGACCAATGACATTGAATAGGACGTGGAAACCTGCAATTACTTCGTTAAAAACCATGTTTGAAAAAGACTTCGCTAATAGCTAAATCTCGATATGCTTTATCTTTTTCACGGAGGATAACCTTTTGTAGACTTTCTTAGTCATGACTTCTGGTATTGCGTGTATAAATCGCAGATGTCCTTTCGTCTTTTCATCACCTCGGAAGAGTTGAAAGGAAATTGAAGTTCGAACGAACAACGGCAGGTTTTCTCATTTTTTGAAAAGTAGAAGGCTCCTACTTAAAATTTCGAAAGTATTTAAGATGTCCACAAAATTTTCCTATTTTTCTGTCAATGAAAACACCTTTGAGAAGCGAGACACGAATACTGTTAAGTTTTCCTTATATTACAAAACTATAAATGGTAATTCAAAAAATTGCCCTAACATTTTAGGGTTAAAATAAACTACAAAGACAACAATACTCTTAATCCTGGTTTTCCTTTCAGCAATTTGAAAAAAACTATCGAATTCATCTCTGCAAGCCATAAAATCACTTGATTGTCTGTCTTAAGCATGTTCAAATTACACTTTTCCTTCATGACTCGACAATAAGTGTTCACGACTTTCTTTCATTCACAGACTTTTCCCACAACTCTCCCTCTATTAACCCTTTCAGATCTCAAACGTAATTCTCCTTACTGTCTGCCATACAGTTCTCATGATGTTAGTTTGGAGAATTCGGTATTAAATCAGCTAACAATTGCCCAAATGATATTTTTCTTAATTCTTCTCACTTGTCTTCTTGATATTGTATTGATATTGTAAGGAGAAATTCTGTCTTGGTCACTCCTGGGAGTTAAAGTGTTAAGGTTAGTTGTAGCTTCAAATGAGGTCAACAGAGTACTCAGTATTTTTCCTCCATCAGACACAATGATATTAAGGCATCGAACGACGAGCGTTCAAAAGGAGATAAATCCAAAACAATGGTAGGAACAAAAAAAAAACTTTTCACGACTAGTTGGGGCCAGCTTGAATTCGTCAGTTATGACGTACGGGATTGCGTGCATCTATCTCGGCCATCCCTGGCAACATCTTCCAACGTTTTCAAATGGTTGGCAGGAAATTACAATTTTTTGTTTTGACATTGTTAAAAGGATGAATTGTTTTCATTAACTGAGTTGATCATGCAAACTTGCGTTTCGAGTGTTAGGCCTTCGTCAGCGAGTTTCTTTCGCAGTTACGAAGGGCTAACGCTCGAAATGCCAACTCTGGAAATCTCTACGGTGCCAATTCTGAAAAGAACATTGATAAGCAATAATGCCCAAATTCCTTTGGCGCGCTTGCCTTAATTCCCTTTACGCACCCAGCGCTTGCGTGCCTGAGAAAACTTCAAACTCGACCATTTTACGTAGGTGTCGATTTTTTAGAAAAGCTTGTGTGGAGTGAATTTGTATAATCCTTTCGATACAAGCTAATAAGTTTATCACTAAAAGCAAATATGAAGAACTATTGCGTAGAACTGTTGTGAACATTTAATCAAACACGTCTAAACCGCTGAATTTTTCCCGTGGAAAATTCCCGAACTGATGCTGCAGAAAGTAATGGTTTCCACCGGGTGGTGGTGATTGTAAAGTCAGAAAAACCGGTCAGAAGGCATATATATTTAAAACCAACGCACGTAAGCATGCACCTCCATGAACTTTTGGCCGCAGAGACATTCTTGGCAAAGGTTACAACTGTACCACTTGTTTTGGACAGTCCATTACCTTCCAACATGAATCTCTTATAGCGCCCAAACAGGTCATTAGCATATTATGCATCTCATAAGCATTCAAGAAAAAAGTTACACAAATTCACCCACAAGTATATTCCCAGGAGTATGTGTTGAAAGAAATACAATGATATGCTATCTTTCTGGGCATTTTACAAAGATTGGCACGTCTGCCCCTTGGTTAAGTCTCGTTAAAACGAGATCCGTAGTGGAAACTAATTAAAAAAGAGGATATACTCCTATGCAGTGCGTCTATTCAAAGAAAAAACAAACCTTATTGAAAACACCGCGTCCGTAATACTCAGCCACAACAGAAAACCCATCCGCCGCTCTCTCCAGCTGAAATGAACAAAAATCATGCCTTAGTCCGAATTGTTTTGAGACGGGCGATCCGTCTTCGGATTTTCATCGGAAAGCTGTCGTAAATCTCCGGGAGATTTCGTCCTCACCTGGCAATGGAATTGTTCATGAAGATCCTTCGCCTGCTCCTGTTGTCTTATTATGTCAAGTACTTTTCTGAAACAGAACGAAATCTCAGTGTTAACCCTTCGACTTCGAGGATCTGATTAGCAATTCATCCTTCTATCTTCTTTTCATCTACCCGCTTTACATCTTTTGGCAAATCATTAAAAAAAAATGGATTCTTTGATCCACGATGACAATCTGTGCTTGAAGACTTCCCAAAACGAGAAAACAGACCCTACCTTTATTTCAAAATTTAAGTCTACTCGAACCTTTAAGCGCAAGAAAAAGGGCCAGAGGGTAAATTTTCAAAAACATGTCAGCTGCTCAGGAAGCTCCCAGGTTCTCTTTTAAAAAAGACCATAAATTAAAATGTTTTTTTAGGACCCTTTCAGTCCAACAACTGAAAATTACCCTCACCTGTTTTCCGGAGCACATATCGGGCATTCGTTGTCTGATTCTGCGTATCCTTCAAAACAGCTACAAAATAAAGATAATGAAAAAATAGGTCATGACTTCGAGCGAAGCAAAATCACGTGGAAAAACAAATGCGCCGCACATGCTGCACTTACTTTTGGTGAAATGAGTGCTGGCACAAGAAATGTACAGCCGGCAGGTCCAAAGGTCGGGAACAGACGCTGCATTTTGCACCTTGGAATATCTTTGCACTGGTAAAATAGATTGCATGATTAAGTTTGGTCAAATAAGTTAGTGCTTTAAACCTTTACATCCTATCGTAAGTATAAACAAGTATTAGCCCAACAAAGAAACTACTGCCACCACGATGAACAATAACCGCTTTTACGATATTACCGCTACCTTGTCTTCAGTTCTTTGATTTGATTCCTCATTTTTTCCGTTTCCTCGCGATATTGTCGGATATAACGCTCATCCTAGAGAAAAGCACATAGAAAGACCTTCTTAAAGAGAAAAAAAATAGTATAAGTACTTAAAATTAAGAGACGATTAAGGTAGCAGAGTAAAATCCTTGCTCTTACATTTGCGATAAGTTCGTCTTCCATTTGCAAGCGACGTATGATGTAGTCCTGTAAAAGAGAAGTTCTCAGTGGGTAGTCAAAGTCGCATAAATTGATTAACAAGAGGTTTAGAAGAAACATGCTCGTAGTTCACGTAAAGTTGACAAGAACATTGTGATAAGGCCCAGATTATTTCACTTCAAACTAAAAATTAGGCAAATTTCTAGAATTTCATTCATTTCCAATACTGAGCTAAAAAATTCAGATTTTAAAGCTACTTTCTCTTAGATTGGGCGATTTCAAATTTAGCGTTGAAATTGATTCTGATTGTTTTGGTTTCGCTTTACTTCGCTCCATGATTGGTCTAAAACACTCGCGCCACTATCTCGACCAATCAGATGCAATAATAAAACCAATCCTAACTTGGTCACTTGCGTTTTCCCGCGATTCAAGCATGTTGCCTTTTTTTTTTCAACTTTGAGTACACAAAGCCTCCTCCTTACCGACTTTCACTAAGGCTGACAACGTCACTGGGAAGAGTATTGACGCTAATTCAGGACGATAAATTTCGCTTTCCTCATAGTGGTAATTGTTTCTTACCTTCACCACTGCCAATGTGGCTGTTGAATTGTGCGCCAAGTTTTGCAACACGAGTAGAGGAGACATGAGGTTTCCACGGTCGATATGTGACTCACGGTCAAGGAAATATCAGTCTTACCTAATAATACACCTAGTTACGAGGTCTTCTTTCATACAGAACATGCCAACACGCGCACAAGAACCACAATCTATAACTGACAATAATATAACGCAAAGTGATAATCGCAATAAAAAGCGATGATGAAAGTGAAATGTGATCATCGCAGTAAATTTTCCAATTTAAGCAATTGGAAAGAAGAAGCCTGAAAAAAATCAGGACTTCAACGGGATTCGAACCCGTGACCTCCGCGATACCGGTGCGATGCTCTACCAACTCACACATTGGGAGCGAGGTCAATTTATTGAGTTCATATCTTCCCGTGCAGTGAAATGATGTGAAGTTTATATGAAATAATTCATATTTGTACTGCGGTTGTAGATGAAAGTGAAATGTGATCATCGCAGTAAATTTTCCAATTATTATTATGTTATTTGTACTGCGGTTGTACTGTTGTCTTCTTTCCAATTGCTTAATTTACTGCGATGATCACATTTCACTTTCATATAAACTTCACATCATTTCACTGCACGGGAAGATATGAACTCAATAAATTGACCTCGCTCCCAATGTGTGGCTTCATAGCTCAGTTGGTAGAGCATCGCACCGGTATCGCGGAGGTCACGGGTTCGAATCGTTGAAGTCCTGATTTTTTTCAGGCTTCTTCTTTCCAATTGCTTAAATAAAATTTACTGCGATGATCACATTTCACTTTCATCTACAACCGCAGTACAAATATGAATTATTTCATATAAACTTCACATCATTTCGCTGCACGGGAAGATATGAACTCAATAAATTGACCTCGCTCCCAATGTGTGGCTTCATAGCTCAGTTGGTAGAGCATCGCACCGGTATCGCGGAGGTCACGGGTTCGAATCCCGTTGAAGTCCTGATTTTTTTCAGGCTTCTTCTTTCCAATTGCTTAAATTGGAAAATTTACTGCGATGATCACATTTCACTTTCATCTACAACCGCAGTACAAATATGAATTATTTCATATAAACTTCACAAAAAGCGATGAGGAAAATGGTTTTACGGTCTAAGCTCACGATCATGCACAATAAAACATAAATGCTTAATAGCATTACATGGAACCTAAGAAACTCTATAAAAGGATATGATCAAGCACTTCCTTAATTTGGGACTTGCAGTCTGTTTCACGTCGGGCAAAGTAAGAGAGAGCTTGCACCCACAAACTTGGATCTGACGTCCTAAAAACAAAATTTTAAGGCAAATTCACTTAAGGCCATGTCACTTACGCAACAAATAAGAAGCATAGCAAAAACTTACATTGCGACTTGGTCTTGAGCTCTTCATGCCATTGACTCGGCCTCTAGCGCAAGCGCATTTTTGCGCTCCTGTTACCGGTAACACATCTTCCCGCCCCAAGTGCACGTATGTTTTCCCGCCCTTGCTGCTGGCATGCTTTACCGCTCTTGGCACCAGTCACAAAATTTCCCGCCATATAACGCCGGTTACACAATTTTCCCGCCCTAAGTGCAAACACTAATGACCGCCGCCGCTTTTTCGCTTGTTCCCACCATAACATAATCGGTAACATAGCACAGATTCTCCCAAACATTCTCAAAAGTTCCCGAAACTTACCCATATTTTTTGCACGTGTCTATCACGTGACTATATTCGTTCTGCTCCATATGGTAATGAAGGATTTGTTGGTATCTATCCAAATTAAAGATAAAAGTAATAAAACTGAGAGTGCGAGGAAGGAAAACTTTCTGGCATAAATACAGCTTGAGGCGTATTGTAAATAAGTCTAAACTTAAAAATTTCTTCGATTTGAACTTACAGTTTGGCTTTTTCGTACAGATACAAGATACCAGCCTTGAAGTGGTGCATCTGTGCTAGTACCAGGGCGTGGTCAATGTCGTAACGTGCCTTTGAAAAGATTAATGCAAAAAGAAAAACCCCTCAGAACACTCGCAAATCAATGATGCTGCAAAGTGAGCATTTCAGCGTCTGTCTGTGGATACACTTCATAGGAAGCCTGGGTTAATGTCTGTATCTGAGCAACTTCGCACCAAGCCTAGCTCATCATTAACTTTAACTTGTCATCAGTTGACTGTCGTTGGGTAGGAGGAGGGGTAGGGCGCAGTTGCTCAGATACTGACATTGATCTAGAAGCTTCGTCAATCGATGCCTGCGCATCGAAGACCGCTGAAAGACAAGGTACGAAGACAGCATGCTCATTCAATCAGAAGAGTAAAAATATATCGGCCATAATCTCAACCAAGAAAACACTCCCTAAAAAAGTGATGATAAATCATTCGGTGGGCAGGAATATAACACAACAGATAACCTTAACGACCATAGAGTGTTTTATGAATAGAAAATCGTATCTCTACTCTAAATTACAAAGAAATGTACGGCAGTAAATTGTGAGTTGTACGATTGATTTGCCCATGAATACGCACTCAATTTTCATGATCATACCTCCACATTTTTCAGCAAATCAAGAGCTTTACGTTCATGTTCGACTTGCGCCTCAACATTCTTCTGACGAGCAGCATCATTCAGATACAGCTCAAGGAGAGTGTTATACACCAAGTTAGACGAATTAGGCTGAACCTTCAAAAAAGAAAAAAAAAACACACTCGAACAAATGTAAAAATACTTTGAGAAAAATGTAATCATTTTCCTTGAAGTTTAATAACTGATCTATCACAAAATCTCAGGCTTCCTGTGTAAGACTTTTCCATAAAACAAAACCACAGGGCAAAAAGGATCGGCGCGGGCTGTGAAAAGCTGTGCTCGACCACCCTCGACAACTTTTGTTTGCTATCGGAAGTATCTCGGCCTATATTCCCTCTGACAAAGGGCTAACGCTCGAAACGTCAGCTTTGAAACTCTTTACGGTGGCCAATATACGTTACCAACTCAATTGATAATACTAAATTACCATGTTATACTTTTCCACCGTCGCAGCACTAATTATTTTAGAACTTACCCCCTTTATTGACATGATGTCTATGCGGGACGAAAATGTGAAGAATTCAATACGATTCCCTGAGAGCCCATAAAAATGCTACCTAATCTAAGTAGGCTATACTTATGTGTAGAGAAAGGCACTGAGAGAAATAAGCGTCTTGCTCAAGAACACAACACGATGACGTTGTTCGTGTTCGAACTTTAGCCTCTTACATGAAGCCCTTTCCGCTGACTAGAATCTCGTATCTCCTACACAAATTTTGAAAGAACCCAGACTCAGTAATGATTTGAAAGTGACTCCGTACCTGCACCATATGTTCCAGAAACTCAATCAGTTTGGCTTTTTGATGAACAAAGATGTGAATAAACTCTTCAGCGCGAGCCTTGTAAATCTTCCTCTCCATATCTGATGCAGGATCTAAATATCAAACGTACATGACAGCAGGAAAATCACCATAAACAATTCATAATTTGTGAAGGTTCTTTTAATCAGATTTGGCGGAACCTTCAGACAACGTTAACCCTTTACACCCTAACATTACATGTATATTCTCCGTACTGTTCTCTTCACGTTTCCAATGGCAATGGCAAGGAGAATTTGTTTGACAATCAAGAGGTAATCATTCCCTTTATTCTCGTGACCTAAATGTTTGATTCATGAGCGCTACTGGAAGGAGAAATTAGATTCTAATGACTCTTTGATGTTAAAGGATCACTGCTTGCGCTTCTGTAAATGGCTGAATTACAGGAGTGAAATGGCAACGAAGAAATAACTAATATTCTGCGGAGAGTTCATTTTCAAGTTTTACTTGACACTTTCCAGTGTGTTACTGTGAGAACCCAGAAAAATAGTGTATCGTTTGGTTCGATTCCTACTGATCAGTATTTCTCCTACTCATTGTTTTTTAAGTGTCACAATAATATTCCAACGAGGCGGGTTAACTATGACAAGAAAAATATCAAAATAAATCTAAAATATCTGTTTGGTAAGACAGCAAAAATACCAAACTGAAGGATATAAACCAAAAAGAAGAGAAAAAAATTGATAAGATCGACACGTAGTGAATGGGATAAAATTGAAAATTTGAGCCAAATTTTTCCAGAGACACCAACCATCACTAGTGGTCTTTCAAAAGAACCAATACTAACACTGATTGGAGAGTGAACGTGACGAGTAAGACATGACTTAGAACCATTTGAAAGTCTACCACGAAGGTAAAATTTCATGGAGAACAGTCCTTCGAGGCGAGTGAGGCTTGAAAGAAGTAATGCTGTGTTCCATGAGGGAGATGGAGGTTATGCATTGACGCAAAAAATAACATGATGTATACCACGGCAAAACATATGTCTAAAGTATACAGTGAGATAAAATTTGACGTAAACAATGCAAGAAATGTGGGAGGACGAGATGTGACGCTGACTGTGACTTTGACGTGAGTATGACGTGGTTTGCGACGTGTTACGAGACATGGATGGTGACTGAATAGCAACAGCAGCTTACCGAGAGCGGTTGTGAAGGACTGATAAACCCCAGCACTAACAGGTGTGACAGAACCGGAAACTGTTCCTACAACAACGTTAACAGTAATATTATCCTTCCCGACTCTCTAAAATCTGTCCAACTCAATTTACCTTCGGAGAGTAACGATTTAAAATCTACAAGATCCATAACATCACCAGATTGCAAGGAGAAGTGAAGTCATTCAAAATTTCACTCATTCAAAACGCAAAAATCGATTCGTCAGCTTGAAATTATATGATTTTTTTCTCGTTTTGGGAGTCAACCAGGACTGCATTGTTTCGCTATGTGAATGGTCTACGAAACTCACGTCGCCTACCCAGCCAATCAGATGCAAGCTAAAATCAACAGCGACTTGGTAATTTGTGTTTTCCCGCGCTTTAGGAAGTTTGCAAGTTTTTACGTTCAGTTATTTCTCACTGACCCTTTAAGACGATAGTCCCGGTTCCAATTGGCCGACGTTATTCCTTTGATTTTGAGTTGACCACACAAAATCGAAATGCTCGAACAAAACTCACGTTCATGAAGTCGCTGCGGCTTGTAATCCGTACATAAAACTTTTAGCAGCTTTGTTGATTCATCAGGGACAGCATTCACCAAACTCTTTCCATATTTTTTCATGTTTCCTTCAGCCTTGAAATGAAGACAGAAAAGCTTTACGTCTTCATTCTTTCAGTATTTATCACTTTAAAGTCGAAACACAAATTTACTGTACCTCATAAAATCCTAGTTTTCCAATGTAGGACAGCGCTCTCTGGTAATCCTTCAGGTCTTCCAGTTGAATCTTTAAATATCTATTAGAGGGAAATTCGAGTCAACAATAATGCAACAGATTAAACCATTTTCCCGAGCATAGGCCACGCAGTGTTGTGCTTTTCTTCGCTATCAGCTACCTATTTTTCCAATGGACCATTCATTATCTATAGCCTGAGGGGGTGGGGTTCGGAGGGTTTTTTTTTAGGAGGGTGGGTCAGGATTTGGGATTTGGTTTTCAGGGGGAACGGAAGGGGCATCAGCCGTCGCCAAGAGACTATAAAAGGGAGAGGGGGTGGGTTTCGGCGTATTTAAAAGGGGATTAGGATTTGGGATCTGGTTTTCAGGGGGAACGGGGGGAAAGGGTATCAGTCATCGCCAAGAGAATATAAAGGGGTGATTATGGAAAATTGACTTTTAACTAACTTCCAATGAGAGAGGGGGGAGATCAAACAATGAGGTCACGAGAATATTAGAAGTGATGACTTATTTAAGAGGCTCTCGATTGTTAGCAAATTCTCCCTGTCAGTACCTTAGGACATAAAATGAGAACAGTACAGAGAATGTGCGTACTGATGTTACAAACATTCGATCCTTTTTCCTTAAACTTACAAGTCGTGTTGTTCGTATTTCTCCGCTAAATACACCGCATGCTTGAAATATCCTGCCTGACGACACACCTAAAATTAGGAACAAATATTGCAGGAAAAAAAATGAAGATCCTGAGAAGATTTAAAATGTACCATTCTCACACAATTTTTTTAGCTCAGTAGTGCAAGCATTTACCTTGATGGCAGTTTCAACATCAAAGTTTAATTCCCTGTCAGTCTGATAGGAAAAAAAGGAGAAATGAATGTAAATTCTTACACTGTAGTGTCAAGCTTAATGTGATGGAAATACAGAGTCATCCAGATTGGACAAGAAATTCTCAAAAGAACAATAATAAGACTTGTATGAGAACAATTGGGAGAATTCATTTGCTGATCCTAAGTCATACCATGATAAACTCATCCAACATTGAGACATCCTTCAGCTTGGTGTAACAGTTCAAAAGAAGAGTGGTATGGTCTGTGTTGGCCAGACCTTGTTTGTGGAGAGCCTAGCCAAGGATGAATAAAACAACAATATTTTTTATATGACATTTTTTTGAGTAACAATAGTTCAAGGTCCGAAATTGTGACCAGCTGGTCATCATTGAGACTGAGGATAGTAGCACAAAGGCCCACACCAGAATGATTATATCACCAGCGTGCAGCTGACTCTTCCACTAACCTGAAGATACGCTGTAAGGTTGTGAATTCTCTGAGCATCCAAGAACTAAAAAGAAAAAATTATAATTTAATATTGAGCTTAATGCTACAATTCAAATAATTTTTCTTTTAACATTGACGAGGAATGTTTGGAAACCTGCATAAGACAATTTTAACTCTTAGAGATTCACTATGAATCGTGAAACATTACGAAGGCAAGGCCAAGAATGAAAATCAGTGCAAAACTAAGTTTTATTTCATGCCAGATTACAACTGAACAAAAACTTAGTTTTGCACTGATTTCCACTCTGTGCGTCACATTTTTCATTTACTGTTCAAACATTTCAGATGATTCTGAATTGTAGAACACAATGGCCTAGATGAGAGCCCCTCAGTCTGGTTTGAGGATCTGATTCTCAATTCTCCCCTCTAGCTACTACACATTTCCTTGTAAATTGATTATGAGAATTAAGTGTTCAATCAAGGTTATAAACTGTACCTGATGAGCCTGAGTGTTCTCATTACCTGTTTGCTGTTAATGTATGGATACTACAGGGAGAAGTTACTTGGTAATCACTTCTTGGAGTTAAATGGTTAAAACATAACATTATACACATTGTAAACAGTTCAATACCTTACGAATGACATAAGAAGGCTCCAGATGACCAATGGTTTTAATGTACTGTTTTATTGCTCCATCATGATCCCCTTTGCTGGAAGAGAGGGAAAAGAGATAATTGTTCTCTTGGTGATAGTCATGTATTTAGTACACTGGTGTTTAGTTTATTAATAAGTTAATTAAAGGTATTTACTTATTTTGCTTTTCATGTAATCAGTCATAAATTTGATAATTATCGAGACAGCTACCTTAAAGAATTTAGCAATAACTCTTTACACCCTAACACCAGTATACATATCCTCCACACTGCTCTCTCTCTATACAGTTCCTAAGGTGCTGACAAACCCCTCTTTAGTTGGAGATCATTTCCTTACTCTCACTACCTTAATGTTTGATTTAGAGGTGATGAAGTGAGGAGAAACTAAATACTGATCACTCTGAGTGTCAAAAGGGTTAACATGATCACCGGTTAGCACCCTTAAAAAGATTGTCTACTGACATCACCTTTATACTGCATAAATAATTTATATTGTAAGGAGAAACTTCAAGTTGTATTTAGATTCCTAGCATGGACATAGAATAGACAAAATCCCTCAAAAGAATGAATTAGAGGTCCTTCCACATTCCACAGACTAACTAGGAAATCTTGGCATATATGTCTGATGCTAAGTTCAGTGTTCATGGCTCTAATAAGATCAACATTCTCAGAGAATGCATCTTTGGACAGTTGAGAAAAAAAGAAACCAATTGCACATAGTTAATTTTCATTGCAGTCACTACCTGTACAAGTGATCTCCATATTGTGTAAAGATGTCAATCAGTCCATCAGAATAATGCTGACTTTTTGCCAAGCTTTAAGGAAACAAACAAAAGACAAATGAACAAAACAGAAAACAAAAAGAAAAAAAGAAAAACAAAAGAAAATGAAAATAAAAAAATCATCAGTCACTAACCCAACAACAGTCAATTGATAACAAGTTAGGGTTAATGTTGGGTTAGGGGAGGGGTAGGTGGGCAGTTGCCCAGATACTGATATTGATCCAACATTACAATACATATCAAAATTCCATACATGTTCTTTCAAAAAAATTCAACGTTAATTTTTCAAGTATATAATACCTGATTGCCATTGCATAAAGATTTTTCTTAAAAAGAATTTCCAGCTTTGTTTGTGTATCCTTCTCCTCTAACTGAAAAATCTGCCGGCAAAAAAGGGAAAAACATTACAGAATTACTACATGTATGTACCTAAAGTTTTTTAAAAGTTTTTGGAATCAGTGCAGGTTTGCTCAATTCAACTTCAATAACATCAACATTTTCCAGCAAGAGATGTTTGAATGTAATGTGTTTTGCAGGGTGCAATAATTGTTTTTTGTAAATCAGATTTTTACTGGGCCTGAAATAAAAATAAATCATAGCAAAATCAATATAAATTATTAGCATATTTAATACAAAAATAGAAAATTACTTGAATTTACCTTATTTTCCATTGTGATCACAAACAAGCTGCCCCATTCACATACCACATCAATTACACCCTGGAATGTCCCAGTAAAAGCTGCAAAAAGAAAATCACAAATTTACCAATGTAATTGGCCTCCTCTTCTTTACAAAAGATGTGATAAATCACACACAATGTTCCAACTATTTGACAAATATCAGAAGGTTCCATTCTTCTCGGCATCCACTAACCCTTACCTATAAACTTGTTTTGAATGTCATAAACAGTGACAACATTGACATTCCTTGGTTGAGAGCTTCCTCTGCAAACCGAAAAGAATAGCATAGCCAATATTATATATTTAAAACAAAATATCAACAAAAAACATGAACAGCACTTTTTTTAAAAAAAAATCTATTTAGCGTTACTACCTTTAGTGCTGAGTTGCATATATCCTAGAAGTCTCCCAGCTGAAGTTTGTTCAAAGTCGCCATTTAACAGTCTTTTATGAATTACTTAACTTACCCTACTGCTGGTCTTTGAATCTGTTTGTTATCCTTACTGACCACAACAAGATACCCTCGCCACCATGTTACCATCTGTTTCTCACCTGCCACAGCATCAAAACAGATTTATATCTTACTAACCCTTTACATCCTTACATCAATGTGCAAGTTCTCCTAACCATTCCCTATACATTTCCTATCGTACTTACAAGGAGAATTTGTCTAACAATCAAGTTCAGGATCATTGCCTTCATTCTCACGACCGTTACATTTGATTCAGGGGTAATACTTTTTGGAGAAATTAGATGCTTATCACTTTAAGGGAATATAGTTAATTCAAAATCAATGTGCCCTGTGAGAAAATTTTGTCACAAAAAATAAAGATATTTCAGAATTTTTATGCCACAAGTTGGAACTTGGAATGAAAGTTATAGGCTTCACTTCCATAGAAAGCTCCAACTTGGATTTCTTTTCTCAGGCAAATCTTTGCTACTGACTAGGAAAATAATGTTGTGTGAAAAAAGGAGAGGTAAGCAGATGTTAGATGAGATGATGTTAGATGATAAGTAGATGTTTAAACATACAATACAGGCAGAAAACGTTATTCTTACTTGTAATATAAAGAACCCAAAACCCAATCATGAGCCTGCTTGCAGTCGGAGGTCTTACACAAGGCCAAAGACAGTCAGTAACTGGCTTTTATTGAATCTCCTGATCATAACAGTGCATAACAGTACATTTTAAATTTGTTTACATATCAGAAATACCTTCAAATGCTAAGCAAGGACCTCTGCCATCAACTTGATAAAAATACAAAGCCTGAGAAAAAAAATCAGTGCCAATTTAATAGTCAATTTTCAAGAGTGCATTTAGGTACCAAAATAGACATTGAGAATTATTTAAAGGCAGGTACACTGAGTTAGAGTATACAAGGCTGACCTCTTTTCGAGCCACAATAAATTGGTTTTCTTGTGAAGCATCACTCATAACTGAACAACGGAGTTCACAGCCATGAGCATCAAGTACTTCCTGAGGATAAAGTTTAGAAATAAAATACTGAATCCTACTGATGAAAATCTACTTTTTAAAAACAAATAACTGTGAGCTGTAGCATACTCTCTAATACAGCAGCATTTCAAGGACAAATTTGGCCAGAAAATCCCTTTTTCTCAGCTGTGGCTTAGCAACATACCTAAAAATTAGTTCCTTTGCACAAACAAGTTCAACCCTTCTTGTGTTCAAAACTTTGACCTTTAAGAGCTTAAGGTACAAGTGCAAAATGCTATAAAAATGCCTCCATGCATGAGAAAGTCTTAACAACTGTAAGATAAAAGAATACTAGACAGGACATGTAATCACTGTAAGGATGCTGAGATTTAGCTCCACAACAGAGATTTAAAAAATTCAATTTTATGTCAACTTGGATGGTACACTGTACTCAGTTTGAACATATGCAAAGAATCTACATCACATGGTTAGAAAGTCTATGACAACTCCTTGAGTTTGACATCATATTGCCACACAACCACAAAATTTCTAACCAAAACTGGTACTCACTCTACGATCTTTAGCTGAAGTGTTGTATGACAGAACTGTTTCAGTTGTCACAACGAACAGAATTACACTGTCACTTGTCTGTTTGAAGGCAAGTCCTATGATGGGTGACAAAAAATAGCAAAATATCATCATGCCATCATTCACGACAAATCAGAGTAAACCTAATTCCTATTATAGCTATACACTCTGTTCTACCTATGTTACCAAATGATTATTGAAACACTTATTGCATCAGTATTTATTCCAAAAACACAGTGTATACTGAATAAATGAATGAAAGCTTGATTAAAAATTCAAATTCTAGCCCCCCCCTCCAACACAGTATATATTCTTTTAGATAGAACCTTATTTTGATTACTGATTGTTGTACCATTTTCATTGTAACAATGTCACCTTTTTTACCCTTTTAAGGAGAAAACTAAACCTAACTGTACCTGTTACAGGATGCTTGTCATGATGAACAATTCTCTGCTTTGTGTGCCTTAAAACAAAAAAGAATGATGACATAATGTAATTGGCAATGATATTTCAAGCTGTTATTGTTGAAGTGGAAAAATAACTTTGACTCTTACAAAACCACAAAATATTTTATTAGTAGACAGTAAATCACTAGTGAATAAAGGTAAATTTCTAAAGAAACTGTGGTGCTGCACTGACAGGGGTAAAGAGTTTCTTAAGCTGAAGTTTCAAATGTTTTGCCCTTCATAAAAGCAAATCACAAAGTAAGTCACTCAGCTAATCAGGAAGAAAAATTAATGGTCAAGGCTGGAGATAGCAAAAATGACAATGAATTTTAAGTGATCTGACAAATTTGGTTGGAAGCTGAAAGATAAAAGCAGCATAGTTGATTACAGTTGAAGATGCAGCTACTGCAAATTTCTGTAAATTACTATTCACCATGATGTTATTGGCTTTAAGACTCAAATAGTCTTCATCATAAATTTTGTGAATATCCAGGTTTATCAAACAAAAGAGTATTGTCATTCTGAATGAAAACTAAGTTACCTAGTAAAATTCTTTAGTGATAAATAGGCTACTTGTGTGACACTGGCAATGACTGATTTTCATAATGTCTTCCTTTGGGACTGTCAAAAAATAATTCACTTTCACAAACAAAAATCTCCTTCAGAATGAAAGAAAAACAGTACTCTAAAAATAGTAACTGCATTACATTGTTTACTGTGTGTTTTTAAGTCAATGACATTTTGCTTCTCACCTATCACGGGTGATATCTCCTTTGTATACAAGAACAGTACCATCGGCAAATCCTACAGCCATCTGTGTCAAGTTTTCCATCAATGCCAAACAAGACACCTGCCATTCAGAATAAAAGTCCTTTCTTAAGACCTCAATATACCACTCCAGGCCAGGTTTTAAGATATTTAGTTCAGGATAAATTGACCAATTTCTATAACTTCTTTAATTATAAGCACTGAGTAGAGAAAATGAAAATTTTTGTGAAATTAGATGATGTAAAATAATCATAAACAAATTGTACCGCAACTGGTTTGTTTCCTGGAATAAGCCGCTGCATGCAACAGCAGACAGGGTTTCCATACTTGTCAATCTAGAGAAAAACAATTCTCATTAATTGATAACATCAGTGAAAGACACACACTAACATGGAATATCATCACTTTCAAACAACTTAGATGAGTTTGCTAACAACTTTGATAAGTTTCCTAATAACTTCAAGCAGTTTGTTAACAACTTACAAAGGATGAGTTTGCTAACAGCTAAAAGCGAGCTCAACTAAGATGAATCTCCTCACAACTAAGATGAGTTCACTAACAACAGAAGCGAGTTTTCCAATAATTTAGGTGGGTTCACCATCAAGTAAGCAATCTTTGCTGAAAACCTAGAGGAGTTTCCTTACTACCTAGAAAAACTTTCTCTAAAATTTAATGAGTTTGCTAAACTCTTAAAGGAGCTTGCAAACAACTTAATAGAGAAACTGTTAAAAGCAGAAACCTAAGTGTGTGCACATGTGCTCTAATTATCTACAGTATAAGTCATAAGGTGTAGCTTAAAAATATAAGAAAACAAACCTTGTCTAGATTCCAAACTCTCATAATTGGATCAATTCCTCCTACTTCATCTTCCTGTAGAGATAAAAGATTACAATTCATGAGGACACTTTTAACAATATCATTAAGACATGATGTACAAAACTGCCATCACCACACAGCTTGTCTTAGGAATACATAGTATAGTTGGAAATGATAAAAGCTTGAAATAATTGTCTTGTATTTGTAAAGAGAGCTGTAGCCCAGTGACATCTTAATGAATCCTTAACCCTTTGATCCCTGAGAGTGACAAGGTTCTAATTTCTCCTTACAATATAACCCCTGAATAAAATGTTTAAGTCCCTGAATAAATGTTTAAGACAGGCACGGTCACAGACGAAAATTATATACGGAATCTCACAAATTATACAATTTGCTGCCAGATAGGCTTTTTTCAGACAATGATCAGTTTTTAACATGCCGCGCTTTCGCAATTTTCATTTACAAGATTTTTAGCCATTCCACTGCTGTATATTAGCTATATTAGTTATATTAGTAATTTTATTTAGGTCTTAGCATTTTTGTAATAGGTAGTCTTATATAGTCTTATATAATCAATGACTGTGAAAAGCATGCAATTCAGCCTATGGCTGCAATGTATTTTATTTGATAATAAACTATCTATCTATCTTTCTATCAAAAAATGTGTAGAGAAGAGTATGGAGAATATACACAATGATGTTAAGGTGTAAAGGGAAGTATTTCACACAATTAATTTGTTTTACTGAGTATGAAGCACTTACTCCAACTGTAAATAAAATATTTTGCTGTTTCAGTTGGTAAAAATGTGACACACGCATTTCGTAGGCCTGGAAAGATGTGATGGTTAAATCACGGCCCAGGAAGTGAACAAAACCAGCTGAATCTGTCAAAATACAAAAACCAAATACTTTAATCACTGCACAATATAAACAAAAAACAAAAAAAAACAAAAAACATAATTACTTTTCCTAAATCTTACATTAGCCAGTCTTGAGCATAATTAAACAAAACTACATGGCATCCATGGTACTTAACAGCCTATGTTTTTTTAACCCTTTTAACTCCCATGAGTGACCAAGACAGAATTTCTCCTTACAATATCAAGCAGACAAGTGATGAGAAAAAGGAAAAACATCAATTAGGGGATTATTAGTTGAGTTGATCCATTACCAAATTCTCCAAACTAACATCAAAAGAACTTTATGGCAGACAGTAAAGAGGTTACTAATAAGATCTCGGGTGTTAAAGCGTTAACTGTCTTCTACTTCTAAACTTATTCACAGCCCCAGCTACTTTCTGTTTGAAAGTCATGTTTTAAAATGCTTTTTGCATCTTTAAAATAAACTATAATGGCAAAATTTGAGCTCAATCTGTAATAAAGATCACTTGCCTCCAATAACTAGCTGGCCTCTTCCACTTGTGCATGCTGTGATACTAGTATCCTATATGACACAAACATGAATTCTATTCAAATATTGACATTTACATGAATCTCCATGAAATCAACACAAGTCAGTGTCCAAACAGTCACACATCCCCCACCCCACAGGCTATATGACCTCACCCTAACACATCACCCCCAACAAAAATTAATATACCCATAGTATCAAGATTGATGGTTTGATTTTAGAAGTATCAGGGATAAATTCCAAATAAAAGAGTTGAACTTAGTGGGTATTAAAATCTCTTGTCAGCTTCCACACTCACAAAAGAATTGACCACAAAATATAGGCCAAAAATGGGACAAAAAAGAAATGGTTTTTCAACAGTTGCCAACATAGAAGTAAAAATTGTCTCTTTTAGGATAGGCCATCAAAAACTTGTTTCTATATACAACATGCTTTGAAAGGAATACACTTGACTGTAATGTAAGTCAGGATTATAAACATGTCTTGTAGCACTCAAGTGCTGGAAGATTTGTCCTAGTTTAGAAATTGTGCAAATTGCCAAAAACACTTTTTTCAGTTTCTTATTTCATTTTTCATTAGACTTTCACTTTCTCCTTCCAAATTAAACACAGACATATTTTCAAAACCTGTTAAAACTGAGCACCATGTTGGACAAAATAAATTACTAAGAAAATCACTTTTGCAATGAAATCTATGTCAGTCTGCAATTTTGACTACTTGTAGGGATCATCCAATCAATGTCCTTGCAGTATTTGGTTATTTGCTGTAAATTTGTAGAGTAAAAACTTAACCTAACTTAAACAAATTTTTGTGAGATGGAGCAAGGCACCCCCTCCCCCATCCCACACCACCCCTCCCCCAGCATGGGAGAAGATCTGGTTGCAAACCATTTTGAAGTTTTTTCATCGATGACATAAGCTATGAATCGATTTAAAAAGAGATGGGGAGCAAAAGTTTCATTTGAATAAAATCATACTCTTATGAACGTCATCTAAATCCTAGTTATGTTTGTAAGAACCAACCTTCAGACCCGTAAATGGCTGAGTCGTTCCAGGGTCTTTCAGAACCTCCTTGTCGAAAAAATTGAACCGGCGCCACTGCAAGACGAAAACTTTCATTTTTGAGCCCTGGTTTGTGATTCTGAAAACATCAAAATGGCCAAAACAAACCTGTAATAATGCCATCGCGCTGAAGTATTGTCAACAAAATATTTCAATTCCTGGTTCCTCGTACCCTAGTCCACCATCTTGTTTAGAATCCTACCCAAAAAGGCCTATGGGAAATACCATATTTGGAATACTTGATTGACAAGTTGCGTAAAATTGGTGAAGTCACGCAAAGCACGCGCAGACGAACCACAGAAGGAGCGGCCATTTTCTTTTGTTCTCTTTCCTCATAATCTAAACGACGTGGAACGAAGTGACCATCATTTGGAGATTTTAGTATCGGAGACTATTGTACTCTTTTAGGGAATGTCAGCTACTATCGACCAGGTATGTTTTCAGTTTAAATCATTTCGTTTTTCGTCGATTTCTTGGCGACCAACGGCAACAACGACTAATTTGATTCTAATTTCCTCTGCATTCCTGAATGCGTGTTCCCTCGTGTGTGCGCAGCGACCCAAGGATCACAGCGGAAAAGGTACGTCACTGTCTTTTTACTGCGTGCTTTAAGCGGCAAAGAGCCGTTTGCGTGATAGTTAATCGATTAACGCTGTTTCGAATATTTTACAGGGTACGTGAACAAAAATGGCGAATTACAGAATGTGGCGGGTGAAGATATCGATCGTTACCTCCATCCGGGAGCGAAACAGGTGAGATTTGTCAGATGTTTACTTTGCAGGCGTATTTTCTTCGCACCACTCCGCGAATTAACCACGATTTGATTCCTTCAAGGGCCTACACTAACTGTTGCCATGTCTTTTTTTCTATCCCTTCGATAACGTCATGGCATTCCCGATGGATCGGCTTACGACGATAATCATAAATTCGTGTTTAGGGCACCGAGAAACAGTTGAACTCTCAACAAGTCAACACGAGCTTGCCGAGCCAATTAACGGACACTTATCTGCCACCATTTTATCCTACGACAACAACGGGTTCCAATACAGGATTACCTCCGATGCCATTCCCTTATCTGAATGCTGCTGGAATCAGCGACGGCACTTGGTCCACTGGAGTGCCTTCGCTCAATCCTAACACGCTGTTTCCTTCATCGGGTTTCGGAGCAGTTGGGAACGGAGAACAACTATTACAAGACCAGATGTTCAATCACAATGCAGGAGTCGCCGTTTCTACAAACGCTTATCTAAGCAGTTTAACCCATAACTCTCAGGGCCCCCCAGCACTCTATTTTCCTGGAACATCTACTGATATTTCATGGGGGGAACAGTCTCAGGGGGCAGCAATGTTGCCAAATTTTTACCAACCACCACCACCTCCGACATCTGAACACGGAGCTTTGAATCCTATTGGAGTTGATTTGGACTCTTTGAAAGGAAAGGAGTTTGGTTCTACTGGAAATGTGGAAAATGCCCTTTCTAGTTTGGCTCTAGGAGTAGATGACAAAGGAAATGAAGGGTTGAACGATCAAACCAAGTTGTCATCTCAGGCAACTAGTTCATCAACTGTTACTCCTTCTGAGACTAAACCAAAGTCTTGGGCTGCTATTGCAAGCCAACCAGCTAAGCCAAAGGCAAAGTTACCTCCACCAAAACCAAAACTGCCTCCTCCAATAACCTCACAACAAACTGTTGGGCCTTCTAAAGTTGAATCTGGAGCATGGGGAAATGCTGTAAAATCTGGTCCCAACAAGCCTGCGATTGGCCGCGGCACAAGGCCGCGACCCAATACAGGAGGAATGTCCGGAAATCCAGGACCTGTGAATCCACCAGTTAATTCATCTGAATCTGTTCCAATTCTTGATAAATTGAGATCCAAGAATTGTTACAATCCAAAGGAATTTGGCCTGCTTCAGAAAAATGCCCGGTTTTTCATTATCAAAAGTTACAGCGAGGACGATATTCATCGTTCAATCAAATACTCCGTGTGGACAAGCACAGAGCATGGAAACAGGCGTTTGAACGATGCTTTTAAAGAGCAGCAGGGCAGTAAATCTCCAATTTATCTGCTTTTCAGTGTGAATGGAAGTGGCCATTTCTGTGGAATTGCAATGATGACATCGGAGGTCGATATGGAGATTGAAACTGGAATTTGGACTCAGGACAAGTGGAAAGGCAAGTTTGATGTGAAATGGTTCTATGTGAAGGATGTGCCAAACAATGCATTACGTCATATTCGCTTGGAGAACAATGACAACAAGCCTGTTACCAATTCCCGGGATACCCAGGAAGTCCCACTGGAGAAAGGAAAACAGGTACTGAAGATCATTCATTCTTACAAGCACCAGACGTCAATCTTTGATGACTTTGGCCATTACGAGAAACGACAGGATGAGGAATTTAAAAAGGTAAGATTGAGCTGATTTGAAACACAGTGACATTAAGGCATTACTTTTGAAGTAATTATACTTCCTCATGTGTAAAGCCAAGCTTTGGAAGTGCAAGCCAAAGGTCTTCCTGAGAGGTGCATCTTCTTTTTACTTTTAGGCATTAGTTAGGTCAAAAAACATCCTTGTTTAAAATTTTAAATCCACCATTCTTGCCCCTTGTAATGATTGGAAAGTAGTAATTGGAAAATAAAAATTGGAAATCTGCAGCATTCTACCTTCATGAACAAGGAATTAACACTTGATTTTTGGCTGTAAGACTTTTGATTTTAAAAATTAAAAAAAAAAAAGATAAGAGAAAGTAGAACCATTTCTGGCTATTTATGGTGACATGATTGTGCTAATACATTAGTGCACATGTACTTTTAGCTGTTTACATTTATTTTCTAGACTGTCACTGGCATATTATTTAAGAAATTATCAAGAATGGAATAATTGTTTCAACTCCTTGTTTCTGTTTCTCTGCTGTTCAGGGCGTTAAATAAACTTTTTTTCTGATAGCCACTTGGCTCCTAAATTCTTCAAAGTGGTAGCCAATTCTCAAAAAGTTGGTCGCCATTTTCAAAGGCGTCTAGTTATCGATCGAGAAGCACGTGCTACGTTTTAGAAACAAACTTAATGAGGAAGTTCGCCGCAGTTTTAACTTTGCAAATCTTTTTAATTCACTATATCTCTTGGTAAGGTTATGATGAAACATTCTAGTCGCCAATTTGGCGACTAACTTTCAGGATTTGGTCGCCAAAGTGAAAAATTTTGTTGCATTGGCACCTGTATTAGGCGCAATTTCACGCCCTGCTGTTACAGTTCTACCACAATACTGAGTAACACTTCTATGATTCTATCATGCTGAAAATTTTTAGTAGGAATTGTGGTGCAATGACACAGCAGGTGAATATTGAAATTGTCGCTTGAAGATGAAATCGCAAATTATGTTGATACGCTTTTAACCCTTTAACTCCTAGATCAAATTTGTAATTCTCCTTACTGTCAACCATACAGTTTTTATATCATTATTTCAGAGAATTTAGTATTGGATCAACCAATTGTCCTCAAAAGGATATTTTTCTTTATTCTTATCACTTATCTGGTTGATATTGTATAGATATTGTAAGGAGAAATTCTGTTTAAGGGTTAAAGTGGGAAGAGATTTACATAGTGCTTTACTGTATTTATAGATAGCAAGTTCTATACCTCAGCAAAGGGGTTGGAAAAGGTTCCTCTTCCAAGAGATAATCAGTAGCACTTAGATCCCATAATTAAGGAATTCTCAAATTGCTTATTAAAATAAGCATTATGAGAGAAAAGATATGAAGTTAACATCTACTGAATAAAAAAATTCTTTCTATTTGTTTTTCAGGGAGGAAAGAAAGTTGTTGGAGTCAAAGCACCATAAAGAAGGGCATGCATAAGTCTGCCTTCACTAGCCAGAGAGTCTGAATAAACTATTATTCCAATAATTCTTTTCTAGTTGGGCAAAGGAACCCTCTAATGATTTGCTTTTGGAGAATTTCAATTATTCCAATGGTGATTTGAAATTCTGTATAGTCTCAACTTCAAAATAACAAATCACCAGTATAAACTTTAAAAAAATATACACTGACTCGTGCTGGGAGGAAGCTTATGTCTTTTGGTAGGTATGAGCTCAAAAGCTCCCCAAGTACATGTAGTAGGATCATTGTTTTTTATTCCTTGAGTACTGTAGGTTGGAGCCAAGGTGGTGCTGTTGGCTTAAGACTGTTATGCATAGCTGCTATTAAGCTGGGGGTCCTTTCACAATAAACCACAATCGTGTGATATTGGTTTTGATTCTTTGATTGAATGGTACAATCTGATGTCACTAAAATCCTCACCTCCTTCTGAATGATTACATTTCTTTCACTTAAAAATTTTAAGCATTTTATTCCCAGGGATGACCCAAAGAATTTCTCTCAACAATAATTATTCATTTTCTAGCAGAGTGCTGATGGAGGGTATAAATATTGATGAGGAAAATGTTTGATCAAATACCAAACTCTCAGTTCTGAAAGTGTAAGAAATGTATCACAAACAGTGTTGAGAATTGATATTTAGAACGTCATGAAAGGGTGGCAATGCACAATTCATAACATGATACTCTTGTAAGAAACGTAGAATATCCAAGTCCTGGGTCTAGAGTTTTTGCAAAAGTGTGGTGAGAAGTGAAAGGTTTTTTCATTGGAGGAGGTGCATAGCACTTGGACAATAGCTACAATTTTATAAATTACCTTAGGTAAAATACCTTTAATGGTGTTTTCTTTGCACATTATCTCATTCAGTTTGCCTCCTTATTTAATGCATGACAGGTTAAAAGATGTTTTCAAACCGGTAGAGCAATTTTATAACCTGTTGAATTTTCAAGAATTCCCAGTGAATTTAGGCGGTATTAAGAGGTGCTAATTAGTGGTGACGGCATAAAAAGGAGAAAAATGGGTGAAATCATTAACAACTGTGATGTTGGCGGGCAAGGATCGTAGGTGTTGAGTAATAATTTGTGAAATTTTGCCAGTTGACGATATGCTCTCATCTGAACTCCTTGTTTCATGCTGCCTACTAAACATTCTACTTAACTTCCCCTCACCCTATCCTAAGTAAGTGGTCGGAAGAACAGACATGGAATATGGGAATATCGGCGAGTGTTTTAAAGAAACTGAATGGATTCCTTCTTCCTTCCTTCTCATGCGTCCTGAATTGCCAATTCTGTTTTTCTTTTCTTTGTTTCACTCTCTCCCTATATTTGTCGCTTTGGAGTTTTGATTTTGGAATGACCTTCGTAATAAGAGTTAGTGAGTAGGGAGAAACCTAGTTTCAAAACACAACGTGGAAATCTTGCTTTCTCTGTTACACATTCACTATTAAAAACCAAGCACCATTAGATTGTTAATCATTTGAGTCCCCAGGCGACACACAATTGTCGGAGAAAGATGAATAATGTATTAATAACTACCGCAGCATTGACGAAAACTAGTCAAGGCTTGCTCGTCAGAATGGTTTTTAAATATTAATATGGAAAGTAGTCGGAGATTGCAATGATAGCTTTGTTCCACTACTCTGTTACTGACGCTAAATTCTCAAGCACAATCAATCAGATGCAAACCCGACATCAATCGCGGCCTGGTCACTAGTTTTTTTTTTTTCGCCGCGTTTTCTGCAAGTCACGTGGCTCTAATTAGAACTTCTATTGGTTCCTTGTGATGGTAGTCCCTAATCTGCTTTAGTTTTGGTTTCTCTACACCTAATACACTCAAAACAAACGGAAGGCGAAATGTAGAAAATTGCCTTGAAATTATTTTATCACTAATAGCGAAGAGAAGTGATCCAAAATGGTTTCGTCATGCAAATTGCTTACTTTACTTGTTCTGGGGAAGATTTTCAGTTTCAACTTTTCCGAAAATATCTTGTCATAGCAAAGGTTAAATTAGGTAAGGCAGTTTCTTTTAAGAGTGCATGCAACGCGTTTTTCGATAGTTTACTTCTCTTTGTTCAAGAATACAGATTTATTTTACAATTACAGAAAGGTTAGGGTAATCTCCTTTGTAAAGCCCACTCTTCCAAAGTGTAAACTGTGAATTTGACTTGGCAGAACTTCTGATTCACAATTTCTTAACTGATAGTCTATCGGAATCTCACTGAAGTGAAGTTCGCTAGCAGTATCCATCTCTGGAATGGGACTGAGGCAAGGTCTCTGTGACATTACACCAGCCTCGATTGGAAGAAATTGATCGGAGCCCTGTTGGCAACCTGAGAAACTTGGGAGTGGTCCTCTTCTTGTTTTCAAGAAGAAAGCGTTCGATTGTCGACGAAGTGGAAGACTTGCGCTTTCAACCTGGCAACTGATTTCGTTAGGGCTAACATGAGGCGCGACCCCAACCCGCCTAAACAAATTCTTTACTCTGGTTCGAAACTCTCGCTTCCGGATGGAGTATATTATAGGATTGCATACTGAGCTGACGAAGAAGATACAAGTTGTGGATAGAGTAACTTCTGCTGGAATCTTGACATTTTTTACGAACTGACGGCAAAGTCCTACAATCCAACCGGGTAAAAAGCACAACAGAAACGCCGCAATGATAATGCTGACATCGACGGCTGCTTTCCGTTCGTTCATGCGCCTCAGCGTTTCTTTGCGATGGATCTCCGCTCCAACGGTGCGTTCGTTGAGGATCGGCGCGGCAGCGTTTCTTTTAAGAATGTTTGCCGTTTTTAAGACTCGCCAGTTTAGGAAAACTATTACCAGAAAAGGCACAAGAAACATGCCAATCACATACAACGCAATGTTTCTTGCTATGGAATCATCATGAACTGACCATCCTTGCTCGCAGAAGAACACTTCGGGGTTGTATACGTAATTGCCAAAACCAAGGAACGGACCGATGGAAACTAGAATCGGAACTATCCAGATGAGGGCGATAAACACTGATTTGCATTTTGTCATCGTGCCATCGTGGGTCAAAGGGGATCTCACTATAGCTTTGTATCTTTCGTAAGAAACAGCTATCAGGTGCAGAACGGTGTTGAAGTAGAAATATCGTACAAAAAACGGATTAAGGTAACACATCGTTTGTCCGTAGCGCCATTTTTCTTCTGCTATGCTGGCGATGCGGAACGAGTTTGTAAGAATCAAACAGAGAATATCGGACGCTGCAAGACTGGCGAGTAAAATATATCGCATTACATTGAATCTCCTCTCAAACGCGATCGTCATGAACACCAACACGTTTCCGGGGAGTCCGACAATGTTGAAAATAGCGTGGAGAACTGCGATTATTTGATGAAAAGACATGCCTGATCTTAGAATCAAACGCTTGAAGTATACTTTGCAAGAGTCAATGACGTTTTGGGGCACGAGCGCTATGATGCGTAACTTATGTAACTCCAAAAAATACGTCAGTAAACTACATCCTGGTAGCAGGATCTACGCGGAACGTTTCGAAAACAAGTGAGGTGAAAAATTATATTATCTTTGCCTCAATGCTTGTCATATCTGTGCAGAACCATCAAATAACTTTACAAAAGAAAATAATAAATTGTTTTTGAACAATTCAAATTTTCAGAAGCAGTGGATTGTTCATCTGAAGTGTTGATCATCTTCCGCTGCAACGCGAGATTGATCAAGATTTTAAGAATAAAAACAACTTGTACTTTAAACTGAGAGTCGCCAAATTGCGTTTCTATACTTCATTCCCATTTTCTTGCGTCATGCAGCATAAAATAAACGGTAAAATAAACGTAAAAGTGTTGTCTAACTGGAAAATGAACCCCAAAACTTAGTGACAAGATTTTGTTTGCATCAATTTTGTTTTTATTGTTTTGGTTTTCCCACTGTATTATAGATCACTAAACTAAATGGACTTCTCGGTTTGATGAAGTTTAAGAAGACCCACAAAAAACTCCTTAGTTGGTTTCTGGTCAAGACTTGGAATCGACTTAAGAATCAAAGACCTAAGAATCGACTTAAGAATCAAAGACTTTAAATCGAACTTTTGGTTTAAGATGCAAGCATCAGTTTAATTCCGGACTCGGAGGAAACGCAGATAAAAACCCTGAATTAGTGGGTGCCATGAAAACCTGTGCCAAACAAATCAATTTGCCATTGAGTGTCGAAAGTAAAATGAAACTGTGGAGTATTTTGCTTTACTTAGCTCGTGATTGGTTCATAAAATTCGCGCCACGCCAGCAGCCAATCGGAATCAAAGCTAAACATAATCACGATTGGTCAATTGTCTTTCTCCCACGCTTATGAAAGTTTCCTTGTTTTTTTATTGAATTCTCTGTGGCTTCTTGTGAGGAACCCCCGTGTTTTGATGTGCGTTTGTAATTATTTCAGATTTCGTTTAGAAATGCCTCTCTCGTAAACGAGATTTTATCCTTGAAAAAGTAATTGACGATACGAAAACTGCAAAAAAAGTAACACAAAGACCACTGAAATAGTTTTTAAAACTTGCGGTCAGGGAAGTGTTGACAAATTTTGCTTCACGCCTTCAAACAAAGCTTGTTGAGACACAGGAAGCCTCAAGTGCAAGATGTTTATTTTCATCATTTTAAATCAAAGCTACTCCGTACAACAACAAAGCTACGTATGAATTGTAGTCAACGCACGGAAATTCATTTTCAACCTCCATTAGGTCAAGGTTATGTATACCGTATTTCCTCGAACAAGCGCCCGGGCGCCTGTTTAAAATTTCGGCCAAAAGTGGTTGCGGGGGCGCTTATTGGAAGGAGGGCACTTAATCGAGGGAGACGCTCATTATTTTCCAGTACTAATTCCTTTTTACCTGAAGCTTAAAAATTTATAAATAGAATTAAGCAAGTTTTCTTTGTATCCCTATTATTTAAGAAAGTGAAGGAGGGGGTGGGGAGAGGCGCTCATTCGAGGGGGGCGTTTGTTTGACATTATGGCTTATGGAGGGGTGGGCGCTTATTATAACGTGGGCGCTTATTCGAGGAAATGCAGTATATATATATATATTAAAAGAAGGTGGGTGTAGAATAAAAGCATTTTGAAGGTTAAGGATAACATGAAATTCTTTCTGGAGTTTGACTTCACGGAATGGCAATTGGAGGGGGGGGGAGGGACATCCTTTTGAGTTTCGAGGTGACTGAAGTTTTCTCATTGTGACTGACTCAGAGTAATTTTCTATTCAAGGGTGCAGAAAATTTTAACGCGCCAACGTCAAATTTTATCATTTTTGAGTTACAATACACCTCTTTTCTCAGAGAACGTTTTTCGAATTCTAGTCAATCGTAGAATCCTGTTATTTGGTAAGCAGAAGTTAGATGCAAGTCACTCTTAGGGGTGAAAGGATTACCGTAACGTGACGCCAAACAGAACACGGTTTTTCGGGGTCTTGAATTAATATACCGGAGAACAGTTAACCGTTTATGACTGGGTACCTGTCCAGACACAAAATCTGGAAATCAGGCGTGGATGCTAAGGATGCGTGAATGCGCGGTCCACAAGTTTTTGCCGAAGGTCTTGTTAGGTGTTCTCCATGGCGCTTTGATATTGAAATTGAGAGGATGCTGTCATATTCTCACCTTTGAAGGACCACCGACGACCCAGTTTCTTCTCTTATCCAGGCTGTCCACAGTTGTTATTTGTTTGTGCAGAAAGAATACGAAAGAATAATCATTTTGCGTACACGTTCGTGATTTCGCTCACGCCATAGAATCGGCACTCGAACGAGAATGATAAAATTAGAAGGATGAATTAGGTGAAAGAAATCTGAAAGTCCTAAAGTAAGAAATTAGAAATTCATCCTTTCTTGGACAGCGGGGTAACTGTGAAAACCCGACTCAGGCCTCTCTCGTTTTTTCACTCCTCCACTTCTATCGCGCCGCTGTTTTACCAACTGAACGCCTGGAACAGGGTATGGACCGGAAAATGAAGGATGCATCTTAAGAATCTGAGAGAATTACATATTAAATTAAAGGAAAGTTCATTTCTAATTTTGCAAAACTTGATGGTATGTATGTGTCAACACAGAAAACTTGACAAGAAGTTGTGTGCGCTAAGTGATCTCGGTTCTGACTCGGCTGTACTATTGTAACGCTGGATACAACGAATAATGATAAAAAAGCAACACTTGTCAAAATACCTTGTCGTTCACACTCAGGAGCACGTAAAACTTGTCTTGGAAAACTTGCCATCGTGTAACAGGCTTTACCGGCATGATGACTAATTTTCAAACTTTTTTCGTGTTCCCCCGACGTACAAAGTATGTTATTACGCCGATAAACCGATAGAAAGTGCAATTTATTTCTTTTGTAAAATTCAAACAAACGGTAGGTTGTTGGCCAATTAGGACATCGCTCTTCGTATCTCGATAATTTCACTTTCTCTTTCAACGTGATTTGATTTAATGACCAAAAAAAAATCAGTGACAGGGATTCCAGAGATATCTCCCCCAATTCATCGATTTTTGAAAACTTAGTGACTTCAGTTTTTTGACAAATGTTTAATATTTAAGTGACAAGGTATGATTTCAGACCAAATTGCACAAAACGGAGTTTAATTACCATTTTTAACTCGTGAATTGCGCGCATGCGCAAGAGCGAGTTATAGATACGATGTGGGGAATGGAATTCGCTCGCTCGATTGGTCGATTCCTGTAAACTTTTTTTAGATTTTAGGCTTTTGAGTGCATTTTATAGTTTTTGGCGAGCAATAAACAGACGAAATGGCGACCTTTTTTGCTAAGAATAGTGGTGGGGTGAAAAAGAAGCCAATGATAATCTTAAAAGAGTTTTTTTTTTCGTTTTAGTTTCAACAAGCGGCGCCAGCGACTGGCAGGCATGCAAGGATTCACACTGAAATAACAGAACAACCTTCGTTTTTCATAAAATTGTAATTTACAATCCTTGAACTTGAAAACAATCCGAAGATTCATTGAAAATATCACTTACTGCGAAGCGTTCGGAGTTTACAGATGTTCAAAAGCTTTTTCTGTTATAGCGTGAGATTGAGGACAAAATTGATCATTACGTTTCGTCGCGTGTGTTTTTCCTGTGTGAAGCAACAAAAGATGCCGGCGACTGACGAAATAACAAGTTAACACGAAAATCAGATAACACCTAAACAAACAATTTTAGCGACCGATTTCAGTGAATTTTTGAAGAAAAATTTTCTTTTAAGTTTTTAAGACAAATTGAAGATTCAACATACATACAACGTACTAAAATGCGAAAGTTACACACCACGAAATTGATAACTAGGCCTGAAATGAAATTCTATCTTGTTATTGATTATACGTTGCCTAGCACGTGACTTAAATCTACCCAGGCGGAGATCCAAAATGACGGTGGCAGGCTTGGCTTAATTATATCACTCAAAACTCGTTCCCGTTTGTCTCATTTGATAAAGAGGGAATCGTTAATGTTTTCATTAAGACAGCATTGCCTCGATTTTCTAATATTTACAACGAAAGACAGTAAATTTCACTTTTCACCCACATTTACTTCCAACCTTTTCTTTTGAACCAGAAACAAAAATGATAGACGTTTAAAACACATGACATCATCCACCTTGTCAAATGTAATAGCATGATCATTTCAATTGTAATGCCTTCTTATCCCAAGGTTACTTTGTTTCTTTGCTACATTAGCGAACACTGAACTACTGCTCGTACTCTAGATATGACAATCAACCACAAAATTCCCTAAACCAGATAACATTAAACATAATCTAAAAAATCATGTGTCAATTCACGAGTTTGCTCACAGAGCACTTTGATATTACATCTATTTTGAAATCCAGTTGCCAAATACAAGTTTTTGTAATCTGTACAAATACTTAGAGCTGGTTTGTAAAAAAACAGTTTTTCCTGCAATTTGATTGATTTTTTTTTGAAGAAGTCTTAAAATTTAATTGGTTTTTGTGTTTTAGTGAAGTGGTCTTATTGGCTGAGAAAAAGATGCGATTTTAAGCATAAATTTAATATGATAATTTGGTCTAATAAACTGAGTAGATAATGTAATAAGCCACCGTAAAAAGTTTCTAAAGCTCACTTTTTGAGCGTTAGCTCTTGGTCAGAGCCCTTCGATATTTGCCCTGACGAATGGCTAACGCTCTGAATGTCAGCTTTCCAAATTATCTACTATTTATTTTTAACTATTTACGGTGGCCAATTTACTTTTATCAACTCAGTTGTTAAAACCAAATTATCTTTTTACACTTCCCCACCGACGCAGCACCACAGTTTCTTTAGAAACTTTCCCCCTTTATTCATTTGTCGTTTTTCAGTTCAGAAAATAACATCTGCATGTTGCTGTTGTTGATAATAAGGAAGAGAGGAAACACATGTCGGTAAAAACTCTTTCCCAAGATAATCCTGATTTCTTTGTTGATAAACACCTAACATGGATAACTTTAATTAAATGGAGCTTAATCGACGAAGAAAAGAAAAATAAAAGCTTTGATATATTGAACTAAGGACTGTGGACTCATTGGCCACGTCGACTATAAATTATCTTTAACACGTTTTTATATGAAGGGAAGTTTTCGAGGCCCTGGCAGCTTCTACCCACGTATTGACGTGAGGAATAAATTAAATTTTGTTCCAAATGCATGTAGACCAAATCTTCTTTCCTATGTGGATAACACGTGCAGAAAAGATTTGTGAAACGCAAAACGTGATTCACAAAAAGGCTCGCGAATCGTTTTTGGGGTCGCTGCCTATAATTTCTCTTATACTTTCCAAATACAAAATAATGATAAGAATAAGAATACTAGTAATGATAATAAAGAAAAAGAAAAGAAAATTCTCAAAACTATGTGAATCTCTAGAACTCGTTTAGAGTCTTTAAGACATTTAGCAGGATACTTTGCTTTTCAAATTATATTACAAGTAAATCCATTGCCTAAAGATTTGTCCTCAAATCTTCGCTTGTCATCTCCTCTTTTAGTCATTATACTTTTCTCATAAATTGGACAAAAAAAATTAGGTTTAGGTGTTTTTTCTCTTCACTTTTTCGCCGGACGATTCACTGATATGATAAGGAGAAATTCTACGTGCTACTAACATGTGGGAGTTTAAGAAAGTGTAACTCAGTTTCCGTTTCATTTGTCTCTCTAAAACATGTCAAGTACTTCATTTGCCCTTATTGTGTAGTGTCTGTTGTTATTCCAGGTCCTCCAAGATGTTATTGGAAGAAGCTTCTGAGGATGGTTCATTTGAAGAAATAACTCGTCAGAGTCAAACATGGTTTTTCACCAAATCGTTGCAACATTTCACGCTCTTTTCGACGTCATCGGAATTCCAGGCAATTTTTTGGTAATCGTGACGACCGTCCTGGAAAGGAGATTTCATGTGATGCGGTATATTTTGCTTGCAAGTCTTGCAGTTTCAGATATTCTCTGTTTGACTCTAGCAAACTCTTTCCGCATCGGAAGCATAGCGCAACAGAGATGGTTGTATGGAGGAACAATGTGTGACCTTAATCCTTCATTTGTGCGTTATTTCTACTTCAACTCTGTTCTGCATCTAATGGCTGTTTCTTATGAGCGATACAACGCTATTGTGAAATCCCCTTTGACTTACGATGGTACGATGACAAAATGCAAAACGATGTTGGTGGCTCTCATCTGGATAGTCCCAATTCCGTTTTCCATCGGTCCGTTCCTTGGTTTTGGTAATTACGTTTACAACCCCGAAGTGTTCTTTTGCGAGCAAGGATGGTCAGTTCATAGTGATTCCATGGCAAGAAACATCATTTCGTACGCGATTTTCAGCTTTCTTTTACCTTTTCTCGTTATTGTTTTTCTTAACTGGAGAGTCTTTCGAACAGCAAAAGCTCTTCAGATAAACCCAGTGGCCAACAACCTTGGTTGCTTCGACGATTCTGATTGCAAGCGACAACAACAAAACCAACGAAATAAGATCATATTAAGGAAGAAGAGGGAACAGAAAGCCGCTGCCGATGTCAATATAATCATCATTGCATTTCTCTTATGCTATCTTCCAGGCTGGATTACAGGAATTTTCCGTCAGTTCGTGAAAGACATCAAAGTTACAGCAGAGGTCATTCTAACAACAACGGGCGTTTACTTCTTCAGCTCGGTGTGTAACCCAATTATCTATTCCCTTCGTAAAAGAGAATTTCATAAAGGATTCAACGAAGTGGTGCGCTGTATGACACTTCAAAAAAATTCAAGTATCTTAGACGAGAACGTAAATCCGTTTTCAAGCTTCAGTGTACGAGCAAGAGCTTTCAGTTCAAGAAATATTCCTGTTTCAGACTTCTCTGACGGTCAGGATTGAGGATCCTGCGGTACTTGGGAAGCAGAGCGAACTCTCCACGTTTCTGTCTTTAATATAAGAAGTCAGAAAGATAGTTTATAAACGGACTTTTCTTGCTTAAAACTCAAACTTAATTTACGGAGACCTGAGAGCTCGAAAAAGATGCGAGGATGCAGAAATTATGGTTTAATTTCGCTTCATTGGTTTAGGTGTCCATCCCAATTGGCGGTAAAACTTTAAGCCCTTTAAATAGTCTATCCTTGGAAATTAAAGTCTTTCAACAGCCGTTTTATTTTGTTTTTTTCGTTTTTCTTATTCTTGTCTTTTATTGCTTAGTTGAGCGAAGGGAGGAACAAACACGCAGAAAACGATTCCGGAACGTGCTAGCGACAGCGGGGCGGACGAGGGGAAAAAAAGAAAAAAAGAAAGAAAAGCGCTCCTTTCTCGACAGGATTGCATCCATGAGCGGAAATTTTTCCTCGTCACTTTCGTAATTCTAAATTTTTGAAGGATTTCTTTAATGGATGAGTCTATATTTCCCAAGAAAGCTGCCATGGAAACTGGAAAGTGTTAGTCCCGAGTAAAGGAATTATTAAGCCAGTTTATCAAGAATTCACAGCCCTTTTGGTAAGGATTTACCTGTATATGATTTTATTTGGCTTTTGATTCTTTCAAACAACAGAAAGTTATAATTAATATCACAATAAATTAAAAATGGTTTTCTTAATAATTTTTTTCATAGTTCCATGCAGTTCTTTTTTAAAACCATTTTCACACCTAAACACTCTGTTCATCCCTTACTAATTTCTCTTTACATTGTCAAGACATTGTTAAACGTACAGGTATTGAGGAAAAAGAAATATCCACCAAAATGTAAGAGAGGTAAAAAAGTTAAAATCTTGAAAAAAAAAATGGGGAAAATGCAAAATTATCACTACATATAATTCTTTAATGATTTCCTGATTAAGGATAGTCTTATGAAGTTTCCTTGTAACAACCAGCGGATGTCGGCTTAAACAGAATCGGAAGACAAACCTACGCGAAAGCGGAAGTAGATTCTAGCGGAAGTCAAACCCATGAGGCTGGTTTTCAAAAACTAGTCGAGCAGGCGTGTTTATCATAACGTCACTTGCTCTGAAGGATTCTAACGAAAAGCACCACCGCACAGCTCATATGCTGGCTTGTGCTTACGTTTTTCTCGTTGTGAAGACCAGATCGTTGAGTCAGTAAACGGAGCTTCAAAGTCTTTGTCAGCTCATTCACTGACAAAACTCCAGAACAGATCAAAGCTGATACACTAATATGAAAATGTTTACAGTTTAAACAGGCCCATTTCAGTCAGTAATCTTAGATATCAAAGACCTTCCTGGAGGGCGAATTTGCGCCCAGGTATCCAAAACGGCAAACGAATTTAAATTCCTTTCCTATCGAACTGAATACTCTAATGCGCAATTCTCTCTCAAGCAAATTCGCCTTAGACGCCAAAAAGGCAAACGGACTGAAATTTTCCTCCTCATTTTCTCTCAAGTAACATGAGTTTTGTACTTGCACATAGGCCACTAACTGCAAAAGGCCTTTTGCGATGGGCATATGATGCCTTTTAAGGCCTTTGGTGTCCATGGCACTGTAAAGGTTGCTGCAACTCGCCGTGTAACGTTGCAAATAAGCAAAGATACCACAGCGCTCTGGAATTACAGAATGAACTTATCAGAATATAAAACCAAGACGAATTTATAACAGCTCCTAACCAAGGGAATCTCTGTCAGACCAAATAATGAGGTTAGTTTTGCATTCGAGAAGAACTGAAAAGTTAAAAAAGGAAACACGTCTAGTAATCCACCAAGCTACCACTTTTTGATGGACTCATCGAGCGGGAGAATTCTCTCATGGTTGTGGCCAGCTTCTCAAACTCTTCCCATTTGATGGATTCCAAGCTTCGTTGCATTCGAACTTTGGATTCCATATGCGAGCAGCGCGACTCGGAGTCTTCAAGTCGCAGTTTGAGGCGCTCCACTTCTTCGTCACGTTCGTCAAGCTAGCATGTGAGAAAAAAAACATTATTGACATGAGTAAATGAAAACAGTAGACTACGAGACACAAGAATGAATGCTTTATTGCAAAAGAAGAGATTACGGGTATGTTTGGGCAGATCCGCGGTTGAACTGTTGAAAGGTGACATGCCCACAAGTGAGTGGTGGCAAATCCGCGAGCGAAAGGTGACATAGCCGCGAGAGGAAGATATAATACGCGCGAGTGAAAGGTGACGAACCCACGAGTGAAAGTTGATAAACTCAAGAGTGAAAAGTGACATACCCACGAGTAAAAGGGGACACACCTGCGGGTGAAAAGTGGTATACCCGCAAAAGAAAGGTGACATACCCGCCAGTGAAAGGTGGCGTACCCGCGGGTGAACGGTGACATACTCGCGAGTGAAACGTGGTCTACAAGCGAGTGAAGGGTGACATACCCGCGAGTGAAAGGTGACATACTCGTGGGTAAAGATATGGAAAAAGTGGCTGAGTTTAGGTCCCCAAGAAAAATTTCAGCAGCTTTCGCACTAGTATGGCAACCAGGCGGGTAAGAATCGATGCTTCAACGCGGATACATGATTCATGCATTAACTTGTTTTGTCGTTATATAGTACCTTTGCGTTTAAGTTCGCTACTTCGTCAGCGAGGAGTAGTTTATCTCTCTTTAGAGCCACGTTCTCTGAGTTAGTTGAGTCTTGGTGTCCCTCCACTTCGTTTAATTCGTTACGGAGTTGAGTTCGCTTCAAGTTCGCTGCAAGGAAGAATATCATGAGAGTTAAACCTGTATGCTTTATTAAACAAATTCCTTTTGTCATCTGTTCATTTCTTCTTTTCATTTACTTTTTTCATTTAAATCGACTTTAAAAAAAACCGCGGGTTTAAAATTCATGATTTTTTAAGCAGTGTTAGAGAGTTTGAACTAAAACGTTTACCTTCTAGGGAAGCTTGCTCTTCTCTTGACAACTGTATAAACAAAAAGATAGATGAAGAAACGAAGACTCAAATCAATATTAGTCAAAATCGATACAACGAAATTGGTTTACGCCACGAAAACATTTTAAGAGTATTAGGGTAAACTGGACACAGAGTCACCTAAAACCTTTGATAGGGCAACTTCGTTGCGCGTCGCAAGTAATCCATTGGTTATGATCTTTTTTTTTTTTTATCGGCTTTCTGTGATTGCTTTAAAAAACTCCCGCTACCATGTCAAACAATCACGAGCAAGATTTCACTCGCATTCCCCGCGCTTCATGAAGTCTGCATGACACGACTTCTCATTAGCTCGTTGCAGTGTTTTCCCTCTTTTGATTGGTCATGTTGATTCCTTCCGTTTTGATTGCGCGAAAAGCAATCTAAACGCGTCATAATTCAAAATACCTTGGCAAGGGTCTCCCTGTGATTTTGCTGTTCAATTTTTAGCAGCTCCTTGACTCGTTCAAGCTCATGCTGTAAGTGTTTCTCGCTTTCTTTCAGAGTCACAAGCTCTTGGATGTTTGCGTGTCGACGAAAATCTTTCTCGTCCTTATGAGCACGATCCTAAAGAAAGAAAAAACATTAAGATTACTATAATTGTTCTCCTTTGTAAACCAAAATTCTGCTCATCACGATCGTTAATGAATTTATCTGTATACCTCATAACCGGTTAAAAGCGCGGAAAAGCTACACAATCGCGCGTGATCGGGTGAAAACAACAAAAGGCAAGCAATATCCATTAGTACAAATCTACTTATTCGTTGACTTATTCTACAATCTGATTGGCTTCGCCTCTCGCTATCTGTTCCATGATAGATAACGAGTAAGCGGATAGAATGTGGTGTGACCATTTGTATTGGCGAGAAAGTTCTTTTGATACTTCTAACCTCATAATAATGTACATGAAAAAATTAACCGCTTCTCATTGGCTGAAAACAAGTGCGTTCTCATGCAACACGATTGCAAAGTTGTAACACGAGTTCAAATTACAAATAGCCCGCGCACGCTTTCAAAACTTCGACTGTCTTAACTCTCTGTGATGTTTTTTCATGCACGTTATTAACAAGTAATGACATGATTTATCTTGCAATTTGGTGTAAAAAGCACTTGTAAATTTTTCAAAGAGTACAAATTGCACCTGCCCTACGGGCTCGTGCAGTTTTGTTGTTTTTGAAAAATTTACTCGTGCTTATGAACTCCAAACTACACTCGAAATCAAGTTATCCCCTATACAGATAACGCTTCTAACACAATCACTCAAAAAAAATTTGAAAATCTGGGACTTACCATGTCTATTTGTTTTCTAAGTTCTACGACCTGAGCAGATATAGCAGCATTTTCTTTGATTAACGCCGTGCAATCATCCTGGATCTAAAAAAAACCGTATTGTCAAAGAACTATTCCATAGCGATACAATTATGGATAAACAAAATAACTATTATCATGGTATGGAAACGGGGTGATAATGAATAACACCTTAAAATTTTACTTTACTTGGGTGAGCAAATACTACAGAGGCCACTGAACAAGCTAAAGGTGAGCGAAGATGGTTGCAACAGGCAAAACTTTTCAGGCTCACAAATCGAGCCCGGCTCTTGCAAAAGGTAATTTTTAAAAAATCTTTACCTTGTTTCTCAAGCTTCTGTCCTGTTCAGCATTTATTTCTTTTTCTTTTAATTGTAGTCTTAATTGGCGTATCTCTTCCTGCAAAATAACAGAGTAAACTCAATTTGCACAATCCTTGACAGTGCAATTCATGTAGTAACAGTAGTCTGTCCTCACCCTGAGTGCCCTTCCTAACTCCTCCTTTGTTTTTGCTTGAGAGTCAAAAAACTTGTCGTCCATCTCTTGCAGCTGCGTCTTAAGCTTTAAACATTCTGCTCTCTTCTCTTCTAGTTCAATTCTTACATTGTTCAAATCTTCAGTCTTGTGGTCAAGCTAAAATCAAATTATAAAACTTCAGCTGAAAAGAAAACCCAAAGATTTGGCCTTCTATGCCATTTCCTTTTTTATTATTTTACATTAACAGCATAGAGTGGATCCAGAAAAAGTCATAACAAGGAATTAAAGTAAATGATATCTTTTAAGGAAAATCCAAGAAAAAGGAAGGACTATGGAATAATATGCATTCTACAGATCTTCTTAAGAAGCCTGCCTTGTCACCCAACTGGTGGTCCATGAGTGCAAGAGGTGAGTGCCATGCATGACAAGGGATGATTCCCATGTTTTAGGTAGTTTGATTGCTGATCAGCTGTTTTGATTATTTGGCTTTTGGTTTGCATGTAAATGGCTGCTTTTTGCTTTGATGTCTCATTGCTACCTTACAATTTTCTCCTTTCCAGTGACTGGTCATTATGATGGTAACTCAACAAAACTAGTTCAAAATGTACTAAGAGAATTTTGAATAGGACTCTTAACCCTTTGACCCCAAAAAAGTGATCATCTAATTTCTCCTTACAATATCACTCTGAATCACACATTAAGGTCAAGAGAATATAGGAAATGATCACTAACTAAAGAAGCTCTTGATTGTTACACAAATTCTCCCTGTCAGCACCTTAGGAAATGTAGAAAAAACAGCATGGAGAATATGCAAACTGATGTTAGGGTGTAAAGGATTAACAAACACAGAACCATTGAGATGGTAAACCTTCTACTCACCTCTATTCTGTAGTTTTGCACTTTTCTCTCTGCTTCTTGTAAAGCAGTCAGCCCTTTATCAGCTTCACTCTTGTACTGATGTACCTGCACATCTCGTCTTGCACTTTCACGTTCACGTAGGTCAGACATCTTTTTCAGCGAGACTATCTCATTCACTAACTGACGCTTCTCTGCTGCGTGAGACTCTGGGGATAAGTTGACACAAGTTGGAGATAAAATAAGCATTTAGTTAAACATTGCCTTCAGCTGACTGCTAGTAAAAAAAGCCAGCCTGAGTTTGTGGTTTGATTAGTAGGAAGGGGGTATGTATTTCCAAAATATAGACAGAGTCAAAAAATTCATATGCCCAGCAATGTCCAAAAAGATAAAAGAGCATTGTGCTGCTGCTTTGAGTGTGTATATGGGTTTGTGTGCGTGTGGGCATGGGGGGAGGAAGTTATTTTTTTATCATCTACTGTGAGCAATAGTCTTCTCATTGGAATTGAATTAACCTTTTAACTCCCAATAGTGATTAACATGCAACTTCTCCCTAAAATACCTGTACATTTTTCAGCAAATATGTTATGAGAATGTTCAAACTTATCAGGTCGAATTTGTTGTATTGATCTTACACCAAATTCTTATAACTAATTTACAAGGAAATGTGTAACAGCTGGAGGGGAGAATGAACAACCAGATATTGGGAGTTAAAGTGTTCAGAAGATGGAGCAGAAGAGAAATGGGAGGAGTAACAATCTTGTATTTCATACTACCAGTAGATCTCACCTTCAGCATCCCTGAGGCGTTTGATGGCAGATTCTTTCTCTGCCTCCAACATGTGCATTTGAGATTCTTTCCTGGCAACATCTGAGGATCGTTCATCCACTTGAGTCTGAAGATCTCGCAGCTTCCGCATCATACGATCTGCTTCCTCAGTGACGCGAGGTGGAATGGCTGTAATACAAACACATGATATCCTAAGGTTGAAACCCTTTTGACTCTGGACCCGTCCAGCCTGTAAGTTCTCCTTACAGTAACAAATGAAGATGTCATTCAAACAAAGTGAGGAGAATAGAGATTATCAAGATCAGTATGGCTCCTGCAATTTTGTTGTCTTTGAAAAATTTACTTGTGCTGATTTACACCAACTTGCACCTGAAATCATGTCATTACCTATACAAAGGGTTAAAGAACCATCTAAATTGACATAATTTGGGTTCATGAGGAGAAAAATTATCCTTGACCTGTAAATCAATTGTGTACTTTTGTCTGACTCTCCTGATCATAGGTCAAAACAAAACATGTGACGAAAGAAAATATCTCATACAAAATGTTCTTCATTCCCAGTAATTACCTGATGCTTTCCTTGCTTGTTCTCGTCTTAAGAAGTATTTACAAGTTAAGGAAAGGAAACAGATGCAATCAAACAATTGAAGGAATGAATGATATGAAGCCCTATTTGTAAGTGGCTTTTAAAACTGCTTTGTTCTCCTTCCAAATTAACATGTAGAGCCTATGCACAATAGAGAGCAAAAGAGACATTGCAATTCAATTCACTTGAATAAAATGGATTTTTGTTCTGCTTTTCCCTTCAGTTATGCAATAATTTCCTTACAAAACTGAGAAAAACTGGTGACTGATCACCAGAAAATAATTAGTTATGCATAGGTATAGACTTTCATTTAATTTAAAATATTCTCTCTGGAAAAGTTTCTTACAGAATAAAAAGCCAATTTTTTTCTATATTGTGTGGCATAGAAAATCTAGACTTAAAAAAAAATCCTCTAAAGAAACCTTTCTGCTGCATTCAAGCAGTGAAAATTACCACACTGAAGGTTTAAATCACTGTCGTATAAAGGATACAGATAGTTAGCTTCCAATTCAAGGAAGTAAATCTGTTGTTGAAGATTCCTAATGTACTCATTTTCAATGTTTCCAATTTCCGTTGTGGAAGAGGAAGATCTTGCATGTTTTCTATAAGAGAACAAAAACACAATTCATATTCAGAGGTTAAATATTGTGCTTCTCTCATATGAGACTTAGATCTAGGTGCTATAACAGAGCAGAAAATTCCAAGAGTAAGTTAACCCTTTCACTCCCAAAGATCTCATGAGTAATTTCTCTCTGGTGTTTCTTATCATGTTATTTCCAAGAATTTGGTATTGGATCAATCAATAATTCCTAGTTGATAATTTTTTTGATTCTTATCAATTGTCTTCTTGATATTACTTTGATATTGTAAGGAGAAATTCTGTCTTGGTCAGTCATGTGAGTTAAAGGCTTTCTCTAAGGGACACAATACATGAAAGAAGCCAATGAATCCTAGCAAAAAGTTATTTTCTCAAAGCATAGAAGATTAATCAAAGATGACAGAAATATGGTCCATAAGTTAATAAAAGAAAAAAGAAAAGTCATTATGAAATTTTTCACTTTCCACTTTATATATTTTTATAAACACTAGATGTTTGCTAGTTAAAATTACTGATTACTGATTACACCAATCGAATCGAAGGTGTTAATTTACTTTGCATGGTAGATCCAGTATTTAACTAATTAATCCAAACACAATAATATAGAGTAACTTTAAAGATAGTTGTCTGTAGCTTAAATTACACATATGACTTTTCATACAAATTCATACAAAACAGATCCTTCAGTAAAACGTGCTTTACATTTCTTTAATCCAATGGTGATTTGTTGAAAAAATTTAAAATTCATTTCGTGCCAAGTTTGGCAGCCTGAATTTCCCATATCTCTGACATGAATATCAGTAATGAGGTTATTTAAATACTTTTTAATTTTTTTTTGGCAGCAAGTCAAGTCAACATAATGATATTTCTAAAAACAAAAAGTCATTTTGGCGTGAATCCTAGACACACACATGAAAATAGCTCAAGATCTAAGAAGATGTGCAAACATCTACTGATAGTTGTAGCAACTGAAGAATGCACAGAATATTGGTAAAGGTGCATGCGCTATTCCCTTACGGTATTCCTCCACAGTGGGCCTACGTAATTAAAATTAAAACCCAATTTGATCACAGCAATAAATTGCAACAGTGGCAATTAAAAAATCTACCCACCTCGATTTGGAATCAAACGAAGCAGCTAAATGTAAGTTTTTCCCACTCGATTTACCAAAGCTTCCAGAACGACGTAGATTGTCTGGCGTGCTGTTCCTAAGTGGAGACGCTATTCAAAAGAAAACACCCAACACTCTGATGAGAAAAGCCTTCTATTTCACTTGCATGTAAAACATCTATGAAAAACTTACCAGATCGCGCCCCTTTAGATCTCGACAACGTCGCCATGGAAGTAATAGAGCGGCATTCGATACAACAACATGAAAGATGGCGTCGCGTAACCACAGAAATTCACCGCTGAGCTATACCGTAGGCGCAGTAACAAGATACTAGCTAAGGATCATGGGAAAGAGCAGGTGAAACAGAGAAAGTCACAGGCTAAACAATTGAGGAAATTTTTAATTTTGCAAAGCGAGAGGCACGAGGGTCGTTAGATTGAGGAGCGAGGAGACACGCGTGGAAAAGAAAGGTATATTTCTCCTACGCGTGCTCCACGCGCGAATATGGACGCTTGTTTCTACAACACTTCTAGAAAAAGATCAATTTATATTAAAAAATTGAAACAGTTGCAGGGGGTGAGGGGAAGGGAAGGGAAATGGTCGATGCGCTTGCTTTTAAGACAAGGCTTATCAATCAAAGACTGTTTAATTTTTCAGAGCCATTGATTATCATTAGGTTATCTTATTTTGATTGATCACTATCAGCGTGGAATGGAGAATCCTGTTAAGGTCTATTAACCTTAAATTGTGCTGCTTGTGCCATTTTTTCGAAGACTTTTTTTTTTAATTACACTGTTCGACCCTATTTGAATAGAGATAAGGAATAACAACAATTTCCTACAACAACAGGAATTCCTATTGATGAAATAAAATCCAAAATGGGTTTTCGGCTTCCTAAAACAGCTGAAAAGTCAAGAAAAGCTAGAAAGCCAAATTGCACGTTCTACTGCCATAATTTTGTTTTAATCATTCCGTTTATTTATTTTCTTTATTTTTTAATGTTAGAGGAAATAACACCAGGCAGTTGTTAAAAAGAATCATAGTTCTGAATTCTCCCCACAACGACAGAACACCGTGGTGCGATTGGGTAGAAAGTAAGTAAAGATTGATCAGCCATGGTAAGCGTCTAAAATCTATATTTTTAATGTTTGAATTATTGTTGTAATTTCATTTTTAATCGAATGCCATTGAAGGCTACACAGAACTACGATTTATTTTTTATCTTTGTCAAGCTATAGATCGATTTGTTTGCTTTGATAGTCGTGTACAACGGAAAGTTATAAATATTTAAATCGAGCGTTTCCGTGAACGAAAAAACAAGGCAATCTGTCTAGCGAAAATTTAAATCATATTCTATGTTTTAGAACAAAAATTTGTCACATTTTCTGCGAAAGAAATGCACTGGGAGGTTATGTTACAATAGAAAGAAGGACACTTCGTAAGAAAAAAAGCTTAGCTCCCATGAAAAGTGCCCCTTTGTTTTGAACAAAAAAAGTTTACCGTTTAAAATTTTATAACCTGCAACTCGGGGTACGCTCGTGTGGTTAGCGCATGCGTGTGCCAAAGTTGTCATACTTGTCAACATCAAAACGGAATTGTCTGCAAGGAAAAGAATTACATTTCGCTGGGGGAAAGATGAATAACAATCCTGTGAAGCATGAAATTGCTCTCATCAATGGAGTGGCGACGAGAATATCCAGTGCGATGTCTACAGAAGAAAATATTTGCATCGTTGTGATCCCTGGTAACCCAGGTGGTATTGGTTTTTACGATATTTTTATCTCAACAATATTTCAAGCGGGAAAAGGAAAATATTCCGTTTACGGTGTTTCGCATGCAGGTAGGAGTCAAACAACAATTTACAAACAATGCTACAACGAAAATGATGCTTGAAAGGCCTTGGGCAAATCGAATAAGCGAGAATGTTTTGATCGATCTCAATGGTTTTGTTTATAATAGTTTTTCTCAAATTATTCTATAACCTTCGAATCATCAACCAAAAATGATAAAGCTGTTCCTCCTTGGCAAAATCTTTTTAGATTTCACTTCAATCCACTTTCTGCGACGGCGTAGTCCACTTTGTAACCGTCGATATACACTTATATGTGAGTCAAATACGGCCATCTGCTGTAAACTCAAATCTGAGGGAAAAATCCATTTAAAAATAAAAAGCCACAACACGCGAACAGCTCCCGTCGCCACCTCCTAAATGAAACTTTCCTTATTTACTTCACAAAAAACTGAAAAATTGATATGCGTCTTTAAAAATATGTGATAGAAACGTGAAAACTTTCTGAGAGCGCACGATATATCGTTAAGAAGTTTAATGGATTTGTTTTATATTTTGCGTCAGATGTCACTTGCAATTACACGAATTGATTTTAACTGATATAAGTGCCATGAAAACGACAACCTCATCAATGTTGTATTATAGGTAAATAACAGAATTATCTCTACAGTTTTGTTTCTCGTTGTATATTTTGAGCCTGGATAATATCTTGAATATAAAGGCTGCTATTGTGAGTGAAAGATTCAAATTTAGAACCAGTTTATGATTTATTTCGTTATTTCTTAATTGGTGGAGGCGCAAAAACGAATGAAAGATTTAAGATTTCTCGTTCGACGACAATTTATGTCCATTTCATCGTTGTATGATGACACTGAAAATGGTGGGGATGATATTCGACTTTTTTTATCACCGCAAAAAACTGGATGACGGTATTAAAAAAATTAGTTCGGAAGAGTGTAAATTTAAAGATGGAATTGTCCTTCGAAACAGACGGAATTGCTTGATAATTCATCAAATGATGTCAAAGTATACACAGATTTCATATTAATTACACTGTGAAAGCTTAGGTATATGCATATTCCGACAAAACAGGAATTTCTTATATACACATTAAACTGTCATATAAGTATCTTCGTGTCGATATCCGTCGGTAGAACTCATGGGTGATCTAGGAATTATTATTGTAAACACAGAACTCAACGACAAGAATTCCTGTTACCAATTAATAATTACCATTACAATTTTCGAAAAAACAAATACATCTAGAAAAATGTCTCCTATGGAGACAATGTCTAAAGTTAAAATATTCCTCCATTTTGGAAATTCTCCAGTTTTTCCTTGGATAAGTGGTTGTCGCTATGGTTATTTTGATCAATTCTGTTATTGGTGAATTTAGCTGGGTGGACTTAATATGATCGGCTGCTTCAACTGCACGATTATAACTCTTTAAAATAATTAATGAAAAATAAAGCAGTCAGTGCACCAATCACCAAATGAGGAAATTGCAATGTTATGATTGGTCCAGAACACTTGTGCCACTTTCGTAACCAATCAGATGCCAAGCTAATACCGATCACGACTTGATTGCTAGCGTTTTCCCGCGCTTTAACACAATCTCTTTGTTTTAACATCGAGTTCTCATTGGCTCTTTGGGGTTCTTTCCATTCTTTTGATTGGCCGTTGTACGTGATTACTTTAGTTTTGGTTTTACGACACTCGTTCGAAAAGCGTTAAGAGTAAACACGAGTCCATTGTGTATACATTTCTTTTCAGGCCATGCGCCAGTGGATGAACCGACTGGACCATGCAGATGGAAAAGCAAACAATGGGATCAGCCTGATTTGCCATCGTCTTTCTCACTCACAGACCAAATCGAGCACAAACTGGCCTTCTTGGCTTACTACATCCCTGCACACTGCAGAGTCATTCTGATTGGCCATTCGATCGGGGCGTACATTGCTCTGGAAATGCTGAAGCGATATCACAACAAGGATAAAATCCTGAAATGCGTCCTTCTATTTCCAACAATTGAGCAAGTGGATTCTGCACCTAGTGGGAAAATGTGGAAATTTATCTGCCACTATCTACATTGGCCTTTCCTTATGGGAACAGTTTTGGTGTCTTTTTTACCCTCCTTTCTTCAAAGGTGGTCCATTAACTGGTGGATGTACTTGAACAAGGTTGAAAACAAAGAGTCTATCATGGAAGCGGCGCAATCCATGCTGAATTATCGTACAGTTGATAACGTTTTGGAGATTGGCCGCCAGCTCGTTACGATACGTGAATTAGACAATGATTGCATACGCGCCAATCTGGACAAACTAGTTTTTTTCTACGGGCTCGGCGATCCCTGGGTTCCACAGAATTATTATGAGGCTATGAAAGAAAGGTTCCCGGATGGTGACATCAAACTGTCACGGGATAAAGACATCAGGCATGCTTTCGTGTTGGATACGTCGGAAAAAGTGGCCAAAATGGTGTGGGAATGGATTGAAGAATATCTAAGAGATCTGGAAGAAGCTGAGAGTATTTGTTGAATATGTTATTTACACCATTGATCCTGCGCAAAATAAGTTTTCAAACGCGTGAACAGCCAACGAAAAAAGGGTTCTCGAGCGAAACATTTGAGAACCCGCGTCGATGCGAAGTGACGCCGCATTTACTTGGTCAAAAACAATCCGAGAGACTTCGGGTACTTCGGAGGATTGCAATGATCAAGTTTAAAAAGCAACGCTGCATGCAAATAATTGTAGGTACGAGTTAGTTACTTGTACCCTGGCTTAAAAGAAAAAAATCAATTGCTGTAAGAAATAGCGCACGAAACATTGTGCACACTTCAATAATCTCTCTTTGTACCTAATGTTACCATTATAAAAGTTCTTAAGTCTTAGGCGGAGGATGAAGGGAAAATCTCGTTGAAATCAAGGATCATAACAGTATCTGGACTGTTTGATAAGCACTCTATACGTAAATATTTTATTTATCTCCATGCTGGTAATCTAACTTTATTTTAAAAGCTTTTGTTCGATTTTGATAAATGCATGTCTATTATATAAAACTAGCTTGAAAAGGCAGACGTATTATTGTCTTTTGATAGTATTTGTGTGCCAAGTATAATCAAATGTACATAAAATAAACTTTAATATTCCAGTTTAAGGGGAACATACAATAGGGGTGAGTCCTTCAGCAAAAAAATCATTCTCTTCCTAAAGTGCACATTTTACTTTTCTAAACCCACAGAGACAATAAATACGTGTATCTTGGTTAGTATTGCAAATATTGATATGATAAAAAATTCCTATCGGATAAAATTGATTCGGTAAATATCGTGAACCTTTCCAGTGGCGATAATCGACAGTCTCCATGTGTCATTTCGCGACCTTTTGTTAAGTTGAGTCTGACTCATCCCCGCTGTTAAACCGAGCAAATCTCCGTTCTGGGGTTCGTCTTCCTGCAATTAAATGTTTCAAAAAGACATCATATCTCTTGTTATGACT